AAAAATGCAAAAACAGGATAAAATTGTAAGAAAATAGCCTTAGAGTTGTCTGAAAACAGTACAAAAATCGGTCGAAAGAGCATAAAAACAGTACAAAAACAGGATGGAAATACCATTTAAATTCATGAAATAAAATGACTACATAACCGTCGAAAATTACCCTGAAAAAGCAAGATTTACCTCTGCGAAATTTCTCCACAGAGTCCTAGGCCAGGACTTCACGAGAATTATCTCTTAGCCGATTACTTTACGTTGATTTCCCTACGTATTCTAGGGAAATTCTTATGGAATTTTTCAGAAATGCTGAAATCAATCTTTAGCCTGTGTACAGACTTCCCCCCTCAATAAACATCGGAGGGGAGGGGGTCTGTACACAGGCTATCAATCTTCGGCTTCAAAAGGGATTTGCGTTACTGACGTTACCGGTAAATAATAATCTACATACATGTAACTTACATTATTTATTATATTCACGGCTTTACTCAAGTATTATCAGAAGCTTGCAGGCTACGCCTGAACATTAATTATTGGCTGATAAAGAACAACATAAGAATAACACCATCAAATTTACGCGAGAATGAAAGAGCGTGACATCAAGTGACTGAGATCATTCATGCAACACAGCGAGGATGAGCATGGAACCCTGTAAAAACTAAAATTGCCGTACAGGCGGGAGTATATAAATGTTTACTACCCTTCATTTGTTTCTCATATGGCGTATACTTAATCGTCTTAGTAACATGTTATAATACTCACATGAGAGAAGACTCTTGGATTAACACATAAGACAGCGTGCTTCGAATATAACCTGAACCAGAACCTTTCAAAGTACATAGTAGTCGCTGAGGAGTCATACCCATTTTTGATTCGTGATAAAAGCAACATCAACGTGTTCAGACAATCCGCAGAGTTGAAATGTACTTTTGTAAGATCGTAACAAACAGTAAAATCAAGCGCACCCGCAATCACAGCAACCGCGGGTTCAATAATTTGAAATGAGCAAAGGACAAAGGACGGTTTGTTTATCACGTGCATTTGTCACATTACCGCGGCGCGAAGTCGTGATTTCAGTCGCGCGTGACATCTCAGAAATAATATGCTATGCATGTACGGAATAATCTATGAGAGAAAGGTAACCATATGTCGGAGTTATTCAGATCTAAGCTTTGTTTCTTGATGAAATATATACGAGGTGAGATCTTAGCTTGGATAATTTATTTATTATGTAATTTCAAGGGCTTATTTTAGATAAACCTCTGTTGACCGCGTACATCCGGTTCTCGGCCCGCGGCCTCGGCTGTTTGTGAAAAATTTCCATTAAAATGAGATTTTAAGGAGTTTCTTTTAAAAAAACGTATGGAATGCCGTAACTGCATTAATTGAATCACGGCTAAAATCTACGCGGAGATTTTCGCAGAGAGCTTGCAGGTAATGAACATTGAGGAACGGATACAGTTACGTGTTGTCAGTCAAAGCTAAAATATATTCCTAATTTTCTTCTCTTTTTTTATTTAATTTTTCGCTCAGCTTTGAACTTTGTTGAGAAGAGAATCCGGTCTACAATATGTGACAGCTTATTTTGAGTCATTTTATGAATTCGTGACACTATGAAGGATTAAAAATTAACTTTGTGCAATTGTTACTTTTATAGTCTGAGTATCCCAAAGTACATTACAATATCGCACCTCAGTAATAATAAGTAATAAGTACTTTAAAGCATTTAAAGTAAGGTCAGCATTTGATGTCTTTAAGCAGACTTAAAATAGTTTATGTATAATCTGTTTTTATAGTCAGAGTGTTGTGAGCCCAAACTACAATTCAAATATACCCTCAAAACAGTGTTTAAGTACCCTATTTAAAAGTATTTAAAATGCGGTCAGTTCTTAAGGTTTTAAAACATATTTCAAATAGTCTACTTGAACTCTGTTTGTAACTTTTTGAGTGGATGAGTCTCAAAATACATTTTAGATACAACTCAAAACAGTGTTAAAGTACCCTATTTAAAAGTTTTTAAATAAAGTCAGCATAAAAGCCGTTAAAACAGATTTCAAATAGTCTATTTGAACTCTGTTTGTAACAGTGTTAGTGGTTCTATGCCCAAAATACATTTCAAATACCCTATTTTAATCATATTTATTAAACAAAATACATTGTAAATTGATGAGAGAGGTTTTCGTTTTCATGAAATACAATTTAACTACACTCAAGATATATTTCAAACAGGGGCGAAAATTTAAATTTCTTTGTCAAATAGGATTAAAATACAGTAAAATAGTGTTCAAATACTGAAAATACATTTTAAATACTTTAAAATCAGATTCAAAATACATATGGTTTGGTAAGGGAAGCTTAGTTAAAAACCAGTAAATGCAGCTGAAACCTGTTTTGATTGTAACCGCTATAGCTTTTTAATAAGCGCTTTATCTGTTCCGGTTATAAGACCCCTCGGATACAAGCCTTCCTGAAACCTCGTACAAAGATTAGCCCAGGGTCACTTGTAAGCAGCAGTTTACGGAATACAGTTGACTCCCGATAACTCTAACCCTCGCTAACTCGAACCTCGCGCAAACTCGAACCAAAATCGATTTCCCTTGGATTTCCTTCATACATTTACTGTAATTTTACCCCCGGTAACTCGAACCTCCCGCTAACTCGAAGTAATTTTTGTTTCCCCTCAGATCTTTCCATATAAATTCACCCTCGATAACTCGAACCCTGTTTTGAGTGCTTAAAAAGTCGGCAAAAAAAAAACTGTGTACTGTCGTCCGAAACGTTGTTTTTGAATTTCCCATTGACGTGTTGTGGAGGCTGATGTTGTTTGTCACAGATCTAACGTGAAACTAGACTGCAAAACAGTCGGTTTTTTTCTCAAAATCAGTAAAGAAATCGGTGAAGCGTGGCGTAAGAGTCTTAGGCGCGCGAAGCGCGCGAGTCTCACACGCCCGTAGGTTCAGCCTCGTTCCACCTTTTGTTTGACTGCTCGCGCGTACTTGAATACGCAAAAATGCGGATTGTTTTGCAGTCTGACGTGAAACATGCAGCTTTACTACTCAAAACAGGAAAACGCATGCTCTATCTACTGAGGCTATGTTTTTTATGTTACATTCTGATTTATAATCTAGAAGTATCTTTCAATTTTCACTTAACATTCAGTTTCTGCAATTAAATGTGATTAAAATGCTCACTGTACAGTAAAACTGGTTTTTCCCTTACTTCCGGCTATTTGTTCCGAGCTCCCAATAACTAACTCGAACTTTTTTCGATTTCCCTTGAAGGTTCGAGTTATCGGGAGTCGACTGTACTACTTTTTCCTAAGAGGAGGTGGATAGAGGTGGACACATACCCTGAGTATGTACCGTAAACTTCCAATAAATTATACTCCCTGGGCTTTATACAACGTCGTAAGGCCTTTTACTGGGGCTTATAAACGGGGGGCGTTTATACTCAGGGGGGCTTATAACTAGACTAAAAAAGTGTTTCAAAACCAGCTACATAGCAGTGCTAATCAAAATCCTCTTGGAACTGGATCGCTTTTTTGAGCTTCAAAACGTCGTAAAAAGTCGAATTCATTTCAATACATGTTAGAAAGGGGTTATATTCGGGGGGGGGGGGGGGGGGGGAGTGTATTCGCCTTCTCTCGAATAATCGCCCCCTTTTTGTACCCCCGGCTATTATTCAAAGAAATACGATATCTATAAATATACAACGACCCAGGGACGGAGGTTTGTTTTAGTATTGAGCAAATCAGTTGGAAAGAAATGAAAAGTAAAATTCTGTAAATAAAAGACGTCACTTAGTAAGAGCTTTGTATAGTTATTGAGTAACAGTATTTCGCGGATTTCTTTAGTGTATTATTTTTACTATTTTGTTGCAAATTAAGAATGAATAATTTCCTACCTACCTGTAAACACTACAGCTGCTCAGTGTTTTGTCGCTAAAATGTCGTCTTCCGAGATTGTTGCGCAACGAGACGCCATATCAGAACTCCTGTCCCAAAACAGTGTATAGCCAAAGATAGTCTTGTCGCTTTACGGGGTGCAATTAAACCGCGCTCTGTCCACTAATTTGCGCCTCGTCAGTGAAATATAGCCCGTCTTTGCTTTGCACTCGGCCAGGTAAAGTGCTTCTGAACACGGCTTTGACGGTACAGGGGTGCGTGTGATTAGCTATACCATGCTGATGAGCACTAATTTGGGCCAAACAGCTGTGTATGGCTGCCATTACCCAAGATATACGGCTGTGCGTATGCGTGAGGTACTGTTTAGGATGCCCCGCCTTCGTGACTTGACGATCTTCCGCGGAGCTAGGGAACTCCCATAAAAGTGAAGGGCGCATGGTCGCATTCTCATTGCAGATTATATTTTGGTCTCACTTGGGGAGTTCAGGCAGGAAAACGGACGATATTTTTACTCATAAGGGGCGATAGGGTCGTGCGTAATAAAATATCTAGAAGTGAAAACCAACTACCTTCTCACTGCGTTTGACAACCGTTTTCTTTTGGGGTTAGACAATGCCTGAGTCACGTGCAGATTGGTCTCTATAAGTACAGACCCCTCTCCCCTCGCCTCAGAATCCTAAAGGGAAGGGGGGGGTCTGTACACGGGCTAGTAAAACTTCCACTAAACATCCCCGTTTCTTTCAAACTGAAATCTTCTTAACATCTTTCTTATAAGCATTGATAACACGTGATTCAAAGCTTATTAATATAGCCACATCCCTTCTCCACTATTTAACCACGGGACTGTTGAATAAGCAGCATTATAAGACTTTCATTGGACAATAATGTAATTTAACGCAAGACCTAGAAAAAAGATCAATAAAAGAAACGCAAAAGATAATCATGCAACCATAAACCTTTTATTTGTTTTTCCTTTTCCAGATGTCTGACCTGAATTTTGAAACCGTATTGCTTTTGGGCAAGACGACACTTTCTCAGAGTCATATTTCAGGGATAGGTCTTGACCCACGCATCATATTGGAAAGTTGTCCACAGCGCTTAAAGGGAGCTAACGTATCACAGCGCTTTACAATGTCTAAGAAAAGAGATCATTCTCATTGTTCTGAATTGCACAGTTGTTCAGCAAAGTATGTCTATCCCATTTCCTTTGTCTCCTTGTTGATTTGCGTTACTGCTATGGTTCGGGTGGAACTTATCAGCAAGCGTGTTGATCTCGTGGAGAATATCGTGGCGGAAGTCAAACAAACGCCATTGAAGAGCAAAGGAGAAGATGCAAGCTCCAGGCCTTTCAATGATTTTGATCAAGTGGTTTTACAAGTTGAACGAATTATGACAGGTGAGGTACTAATGAGGAGTGTAAGAGGTTTCTATCTAGCCAAGGCGCACCGATTTGTAAAGTTGGAGGACTTCGCACTTCGCGTAAATAACGTGCCATTTCGGAGCTTTATCTCTGAGAAGTCGTGATTTGTCGCTAAATATTGTTCATTTTCTTATCTCTCCTTTTAATTTCCCACTCAAAAACGAGAAATACTTGGAAAAATTCTTACGTAGTGGCTACCTGCCCGAATTCTCCTGTATCCGTGTATTGATTGCAATTTAGCCTTGACTCACCTTAGTACGTATCCAAAGTGAAGGTCGCTATTACTGCACGAAAGTCCTAAGAATTGATTAGAATCTCCCGGATCGACGGACGCCTCTTTAATACAAATACCTCTCTATCACACCTATTAAGGACAGTTTTCTTGGACAAATAATATGCTGATAATGTGAAGTTCCATACAAACCTCTGTAACACCCCTGTCATGCGGATGACACTGGTGTCAATAATTTGTTTAGGAAGATATTTTAACACAGCTTTATGTAGTGGGTCCAGGAGGCTTCATTTAACGTTGAAAGTTAAAGAAATAATCATGATCCTTCACTCTTCACTGGATTGACATTCATTGACATTTTTTTTTTATTATTTGAAAGAATCCATTAAACTGGCTCTGGGAGAGAAAGGTATTCAAAAAGTTTCCGATTTCGGAAGGAAGTCGCTACATCCCTTGAGGCTTCAATCTTTTCACTTAAGTTCTCATCTTTTACGTGCCTGATTTGAAGCAAACGTCTTGCGATTCAGGTCAAATGAAAGATCTCAAGTACCCAAAACTACACTCTTCTTTTCTCTACCTATATAAGATTCTTACTGCATCGTTATAGGAAAAGCAGCCCACAAGGGATACTCCTCTCCCCTGGTAGGTGACAGGTTTGACTTTTTGAAAATGTAATTAATATTTAATGTCATCTGCAGTTGATAATCAAAGGTCAAGAACCCGTCGATCACAACCAGGCAGCGCTAAATCAGAGATTACTGTTGAAACAGTCAGAAAAGAGATAAACAAGACTTTAAATTCTTTGATGCGCACGCCGCAGGCATTTTGTTCACCCAAAGGAAAAGTCTGCATGCAAGGTCCGCCGGGAATACAAGGACCTAAAGGATCACGTGGCAGAAGAGGACCGCGGGGATTCACGGGAAGGAAAGGACCACGAGGTGACACAGGGAGCCCAGGGCTGCACGGAAAACAGGGACCCACTGGACCACCTGGTGAAAAGGGAAAAGAGGGAGAAAGAGGTGCTCCGGGGCCTCGGGGATTCCCCGGTGCATAAGGAGATCCTGGAGAATCAATTTCACTTCCGTCAGTCGTGATTACTCCTAATCACCAAACGGTCAGAGAAAACCAGAACGCATTGCTCCAGTGTTCTGCAACTGGAAACCCACGACCGTCTGTGACTTGGTATCGTTCAAATGGGTCAAGCTTACCGAGTCATTTCCGTTACCAACCGGATGGAAAGTTAGTAGGAACTCGCGTGACTCTATCAGATGCTGGGAAATACCTCTGCGTTGGTAGAAATTTGCTTGGGTCAACGAATCAGTCGGCTATGTTGACCGTTGAAGGTAAATACAGGTGAAATTTTAATCTGTATATTTCTGTAAGCCATTTATTTTCGTCGCCTTTGTTTTGTAAAAGTATCATTAGTAAAGTATCATGTCCCGCTGCTCGCTACTATAGATAACGTTGATTCCAACTCTAGTTACAATCTCCAACTCTAGTTACAATTCAAACGGATCCTCACCTTTTCAGTAACAAAGCGCTCTTAAACTAACCAAAGGACGACCCTTTTTTTTGGTTTCTGAGCGTCTAAAGACTAAGGCACACGTCGTTCGTTTCCTTAAAATCTCTCGGACCAGGAGCTGATTACTGCTCGGACGCATAAGTAAATCGATCAGCATTGCCCCCACCCTCCATCTAATAAAATTTTGCAATAAGGTGTACAAGAATGTATCGTTTTGAGAGTTTTTGATGTGGGTCAAAATGACTCACTAGGTTTCGCATAACTTCCGAGTATTGCAAGCTAACGCACCAAACATTGATATTTTCTTTTGTTGCTAAAGACGTTACAATTTTTCTATTTTAGCTCCTCCTCGAATTCAACTCGATCCAGGTCCCACTCATGTTAAAACAGGGCTAACCGTAAGGCTTCCTAAATGCTACGTAATGGGATTTCCTACCCCGGATGTGACATGGAGAAGAGTCAAGGGCGTTCTTCCAAGGAACAGAACTGTTTCTAACGATGGGGCGTTATCTTTGATCGCCGCAGAGAAAACAGATACGGGACCCTATGAATGCACAGCGAGAAACCGTCTGGGGCAAGAGTCTTCTATAACCTCTGTTTTTGTTTGGTCTCCACCCACATTCGTCTCGAAACCACCAAGCAGGGTTAATAAATATACAGGCGAAGAGTTGACCTTGCGTTGTTCTGCCTCTGATCGAGCCTCTCTTTCGTGGAAACGTGTCGGTGGAGTCTGGGAAGGGGAACGTATGAATGACCGAAATGGAACATTGACGATTACCTCTCTTAAAGAATCTGATTCTGGTTCTTACGTCTGTGAAGCTAAGCTACCACTTTATAACATAGACGCAGCGACTGTCTTGAAAGTAAAAGGTCAGTAACTAAGATGTGCCGCATAATAAAGTGATTGTTATCTACACCCGTAAGTAAGGAATGTTTAGGTCGGTCGACATGTCATATCTTTTTTTCATTTAATCGAGCACTGGGGAAAATTGATTGTATCTTATACCCCAAATAAATTTTTCACACCGTGGATAGCAATGCATGACTTTCCAGTAATCGGATATCCAGGTTTTGCGCACAGGATTCTGGGATCGCCAGGGGGCAAACATTGCGAGTCGCTAGAAAGAAATGTATGGCGTGGAGTTGTTTCTCCGTTAAAAGCAGTGTCTTTGGACATAGAATGCCGCATTTTGCCGTGATTTTATGAGAAACGGAGGTGACTAATGTTGGTGCGTTGAAATTTCAAGTTTCTATGTGATTAATGCGATAAATTCTATCGATAAACACTCCTTGAATGAGGTTGAGTTTGAAATTTTTGTTTACTGAATTTACACAGACATGAAGAATTCGAAGAAAAGGTCTCGAAATATATAGTGCAAATTTAGGTATACATGTAGGGGGATTGAAGCGTTTAAGTTATAATTACGTGTGGTGATATTTACGACGAGTGTAGCTACGCTCGGCCGCGATCAGCGCTGTGCGGCGCTTTGCGGGTTGTGACAAGTCAACGATCGTAGGTATGTACGTGGCCATAAAAATAGAAAACCCTCCTCTACTTTGGTATAAACAAAGTGACATCTACAAAATATTTCATGGAAAGTGCATGGTATTTAACCATTAGTAGATGAGGCAGAAATCGTACAAACCAGTAAGATTTCCGATACAAAAGCGGTGAGTGTGAAAATAAATACCAAGTTGATGTGCCAAATTCAGAGATTCTATATCTTCCCTCAAAATGATTGGAAAAGGCATTAGAACTCATCGGTTCTCTGGATCATGACAAAACATTTCGCTTGTGTTTTTTTGGCGAGAAGAAATAAATATACTAACGAGCGGAAGATGTTTTTGTTTTTAAATTTAATACATATCAAATTCGACAATACATAAGCTTACCTTCGATCGTTGTCACAAGCCGGCACAGCATTGTGATCGCCGCCGAGCGGAACGTAATTTCACTCGTTGTAAATATGAGCACATCTAAGTACAACTGGAAAGGCTTAAGTGAGTCCGCATTCCCCGCTCATTTATACCTAAGTTAGTACTATATATTTCGAGACCATTCAGTAAATTCACAGTCGACCTTTCGCAAGAATCAGTGTTTATCGATAGATTTCATCGCATTGATCCCACAAAAACTTACAATTTCTTCGCACCAATATTAGTCACCTCCGCTTCTCATAAAATAACGGCAAAATGTTACATTCTCTGTCCAAAGACACTGCTTTTAAAGGAGAAACAGCTCCACGCCATACAATCCTTTGAAGCGACTTGCAATGTTTGCCCCCTGGCGATCCCATAATCCTGTGCGCATAACTAAGTGTCCGATTACTGGAAAATCATTCATTCCCCCTCCCTACTAATATGTGTCGACAAACTATATCTTCTCTTTAAATTTGAAACTCAAAATCAATTCCACAGTGCGATATTTGACTTGGAAACTACGCATATAAATAAATTAACCTTTTTTTCCGTGCCTCCTGATAGTTGATATTCCTAAACAATATATAGGTACAGTTAGGCAGGAGTAAACGGGCTTAGGCTACAAAAAAAATTATGACCAGGAGGTCTTCTAATCTCGTACATTACTTGTCACCGCCTGCCGGAAACAATCAATGAAGCCCTTTTTTTCTCTCAGCATCTTGTTTCATTTGTTGGATTTACTGAGGTTGTCGCGACTGTCGCGTGTGAATATTTCGCTAAAGTTTCTGTCGCTTTACTGCATAACGCTGGTTGCATTTGCGAAGCTATGAGCAAAATGGCTAGATTTCTAATTACTCCTGGCAAGTGTCAAATCTACTTTAATTTAACGGGAAGATGCCGGCAAAACGAATCTGTTTTAACCTACGTCAAGTTCGACCACTACACTGCTAAACGAGAGTGGCAAATTATTTCTGTAGGAAATCCTTACTTGGTTATATACTTTGGTAAGTTTAGCTTTGTTTAGCCGAGTAATTGATGGTAAGTCGTGATTTTTAATGTTTCGGTTTTTTTTCGATGAAAAATACCGAGAAAAAATATCGAGCCGAAATTATTTTTTTCGCACGTGTTCTCTGATGATGTATTTCACATAATTTTTGATAATGTATTACAAAAAGATTCTGTCCAGATTTCTCGATATTTTGTCAGTTTCACTCTATCACACGCCGCCCAACAAACGATCGCTAGCCTCTAGCAATTTGGCGCCGGCTTTCCTATTTTGCTTTTGCATTTTGATCACCGTCTCATGAAAGTGCTTTTAATTATTTGTGGCGGGAAATATGTACCGCGCGCGTTTGTTTGGCGCCCAGATCATTGACATCAGTGGAAGAGACTCCAGACAGGTAAGAAAACTTAATAATTATATCAGTAGCAATTGATGTTTAAAATTATAATTCTGGATTATTCTGTTCTAGTTCAACACTCGAGAGAGTCAGCTCTTTTCTCAAAAAAATTTCGCAGACAAGCAGCCTCGCTGGGTCATGCAGGGTCCCCTTGTTTCCTGAGCTTTTGTTATCTGCGTTGCAGATATCCTGGGTAGTGTATACCTGAAATCTACAGTTAACTCAAAAAATGCTCTAATCAATGCTGTAGTATCCTGGGTAGCGTATACCTGAAATCTACAGTTAACTTGCAAAATTGCTCTAATCATTCCTGTAGTATCCTGGGTAGTGTATACCTGAAATCTACAGTTAACTCGTAAAAATGCTCTAATCATTCCTGTAGTATCCTGGGTAGCGTATACCTGAAATCTACAGTTAACTTGCAAAAAATGCTCTAATCATTCCTGTAGTATCCTGGGTAGTGTATACCTGAAATCTACAGTTAACTCGTAAAAATGCTCTAATCATTCCTGTAGTATCCTGGGTAGCGTATACCTGAAATCTACAGTTAACTCGTAAAAATGCTCTAATCATTCCTGTAGTAGTATCCTGGGTAGCGTATACCTGAAATCTACAGTTACCTCGTAAAAATGCTCTAATCAATGCTGTAGTATCCTGGGTAGCGTATACCTGAAATCTACAGTTAACTTTCAAAAATGCTCTAATCATTCCTGTAGTATCCTGGGTAGTGTATACCTGAAATCTACAGTTAACTCGTAAAAATGCTCTAATCATTCCTGTAGTATCCTGGGTAGCGTATACGAAAAACATTTTCCCGGCCTTTTAGGAAGCGGCTTAAATAGTTTCAAAGTTGCAGGGCAGTCACAAAACTGAATTCTTGAGTTTACCTCCATTTCATACTATAACTTACTGCCCGAGACTGAAAAAGGCGCAATGTAAAATGTTTATGGCGTTTTATTATTACCAAAATAGTAAGTGTCTCGGAAGAGGGTTAGCCGAGCAGAAAAAGATTTAAACCTTGCTTTAAACGGATATTGCGGTTACTTTCATTTCAGTTTATGGTAGCTTGAGTTACTCTTTTGTGGGCAATTTACGGAAGTCCAAGGGTATTCAGCTAACACCTCAAGAGCCTAGAGCTGTCAGACCTTGGTTTTGAATTACTTATGCAAATTAGCTGGCTGCACATTGAATGTGCAGCCAGCTAATTTGCATAAAATTTTTTCGCGCTTCAAAGCTCGTCATGTGCACAATACTGTCAGTCTCAATTTGTAAGAACGTTACGTTGGGCAGTAATAAGAGTAGGCTAAATTGTGAAGCATCCGATTTTCACTTTTATTGTCTAAGAAAATTGACGACTAGCCCTAAAAATACGAGAGGTATTTAGAAACTATTCGATTTTGAGACGACTAATTAGAAAACCAAAGTTATGAGCTTCGCTATCCACTGTCCTGTTCACTGTGCTGATAGAGAGCAAAAACGCTTGCTAAGCAGGCCAAAATACCCATGACTTATGGGTACTTTGAGTATAAAAGTAACAATTATATAAATTTACAGTTCCTCCACTCTTCAACTTTACAACAAACGGACGCAAAGGACGGCAGGGGAGCATTCAGCAGTTCACAGTTCCAGTAACCGCCCGTTATTTGATCAAGGCCTGGGGTGCTCGGGGAGGAACACATTCCACTAATTATGGAGAATATCCTGGAACCTACTACGGTGGAAAGGGTGCATTCAAGAAGGGGATATTCAGACTGAATAAAGGAACTGTTCTGAACATTGTAGTGGGACAAAGAGGAGGGGATTCAGTAGAAGTTAAAGGAGGACAACCTACAAGCAGAACGGCAGCTGAACTAGGGCTATCTGTAGAGGACAATGCTGGGACAGGGGGTGGGGGAGGAAGTTTTGTTTATACATCGTTTAATTCACTTTTGTTAGCTGCCGGTGGGGGAGGGGGTGCATCTGCGGGATACAACGGGGTAGATGGTCAGGCAGGTACTAGTGGTACCAGTAGTGTGGGAAAAGACTCGTCTTATGTTCGAAAAGGAGGATCTGGAGGACAACCGGGTGAATGTTATACTAAACACGCTAGCTATCATGGGGGAGTGGGTGCTGGTTGGACAGGCCAGGGATGTGCCAGAAAAGGATCCGAACACGGCGAGAGAGGTGGATCTCGCGCTCAGGGCTGGGTAGGAGGGAGAGCTGGTGGAATGAATAGTGGTCATAATGGAGGGCCACCCCCTGGGGCGGTAGGAGGGTTTGGCGGAGGAGGAGGTGGGTCTGAGGATAATGGCGCTTCTGGTGGAGGAGGGGGATACTCTGGGGGAGGAAGTGGTATGCAGTACAAGCAAGCAGGAGGTGGAGGGGGCTCGTATTGCATTGGTTCGAGTTGTTCTGGCGCTACTGGTGGGAACCTAAAGGATGATGGATTTGTGCGAATTATCGCGTTATCGAACTAGTTTAAAATGTTACGGGGTTAAGCCCGTCCAAGGCGTTTAGCGATAAGAGTTAAATTTGCAATTAAGTGCCCGCACAGGCACAGAACATAGTGACTGAACGTTATTTTTAGAGCTTTTTTGATTGTTTGCGAAATAAAATTAAAGGTCCTTTATCAACCTGGGTTTTAATTAAGCTAAAGTATGTTTTAAACGATTAAAACTAAATTTTTATTATTGTTGTCCGTCTGAAGGCCAAGATTAATAATCTTAAATAACATGTGCTCGTACTTCTGCTATATTGATTTGTAAAGACTGATATATACTTTGTACATGTATTTTTTAAACTGATCTTTATTTCGTTTATTTGTTTAATTTTTCTTAAATAAATCAAGGAGTAGGCCATTTCTGTTATCGTTTGACTATAGAATGATAAATTTTACCCAGGGTCTCTAGCTGAGGGATATTGAATTAAATGAAATTCGATTTGCCTTGCTTTCCGTGACATTAACGCAAGTCTGTGTCAATCCTCCGCAGAGGCTTCTACTAGCAAGGTATTCCAAAAATAATAGATTTAGAGAGAATATAAAAATGGTACGCGCGTAGGGGACAATAGGCACTTTAAGATCCAACGACGCGACGGCAACAAGAACGTCGCTTAAAAGTGAATTTGCGTTCTTTCAGTTTTTATCGCAATTATTCCTACCCATTTACTTTGTCAAATGTAGGCGAACCCTCCTGGAGTGGAATTCCTAGGGACCATATCCAAGTGCAGAAAGAGAAACAAAATTTGGTCGTTGCTTGTTTACGCACTCCATAAAACGCGAAATTAGGCATTTTCACGTCGTAATCGTGCAAAGCGGGCAAGGAAATGTACAAAAAAGCGTAATGCACGTGCAAAGATGTTGTTTTGCTTATTAAACCTATTGCTTTTTTTTAACGTCCTTGTTGCCGTCCGCGTCGTTGGATCTTAACGTCCCTAATGTCATCACGCCCGCGAGCTTCCTTTACGTCTAGCCCCATGTAAGGAAATCCAGGACAGTCTTGGATTCTGGATTTCACGCTTTGTATTCCAGATTCCAGGTACTGGATTCCAGTATTTGTCTGTAGAACTTGGACACTGGATTCCAATCGTTAGTGGGATTCCGGAATCTTTGAGCTGTATTCCGGATTCCAAAACCCAGGATTCCAGATTCCACACCCTTACATGGGGCGATACGTCTCTCCTGAGTCTCCCAGTGACACAAAGAAACCTCTGCGGAGTAAACGTTCAAAAAAAGATAACACCATCAACGTCGAAGTCTAACAAACCGCAATGAATTTTGAGGTAATCTTGTCTTCCGATCCTGTATCTATAATTGGACCAAAAACGGCAGAATAAGTCTGCCACTACATTTGATTGTTACTTTTCCTTCAGATATTAAGCTTTGAACGCCATCTTTTGTTCTGCACGCTGTGCGATGCTTTCTTGGCACGGTGTACTTAGTATTTTTGCAGTTGTGTGTGTGTTTTGGGGGTGGAAAAATAACAAAGACATATTGCTCAAGAAGGGATCAAATATTATGAACTGATTTAACCATAAAATCCTCCCACCTGCCCCTGTAATAAATTGATGAATTACCTCACCAGATTATGCATCCAAACTAAGCAACATTTTGAACACAATAAGAGAAGAAGACCATCTATGATATCAGTTCTGCTTCCTATGGTAGGCATAGGAGGAGGCCATGAGATAAAATTAGGTTTTATTACAACACTATTGTATGCGGTAAAAAATACTGGTGCGCTCCTTGGACGTTATAAAGAATAATTTTACCACCTCTAATAGAGAGTATATGTGAGATGTTTATTAAAGACGATTAAACTCCAGTCAAAAGTACTTGTAGTTGGACATGAAAATAGGTAGATCCTATTTTTGCCTGCATTTGAATCCCTAAGTTGCCTACAATTTGCCACCGAACTGACCAACGTTATGGAGTTAAAACAACTACAACAGTAAGAAGGTGACTGATTTTCCACTCATTAGCGATTAATAATTATCCAGCCTTCAAGGAATCGTTGTAACAATAATAATAATAATAATAATAATAATAATAATAATAACGTCTTTATTAAAAAGCATCCGATAAAATTACATATCTGATGTTACAGTAAAAATATATATCGATAGAAAAAATTACAATGACAAGATGAATAAAAAAGATTAAATTGATTAAAAATACATATGGGGTATTTACACAGCTAGATTATATTTAAAAATTAATCTATTAAAAAAAGCTATCTTTGAAACGTTCAGTGTTAATGCTGGGCCTGACAACGGATATCCTTCGAAGGTTTACAATACAGTCTTTGTACCTTGGGAGCAAGCTTTTTAGTGGATGGTCATCGCGTTTGAGGTTATCAAAAAGGCGTCTGTCGCTTTTCTCCAAAAGTTCATATATGTTGTAATTGACCGACGTATAACGCCTCATATAACATCTTTTTAAAAACCTTTGTATAACAGTAAGTTCGGAAACACTTGCAGCATAAACTGAAAGACCGTATAATAACTTAGGGATCACAATTGAATTAAAGAGGTGGTCTATTTCATCTTGTGTATATCCTTCTTTACGTAGGCTTCTGATGACAAATAAACACTTGTTGGCTTCATGGAGCTTGGCCTTGACATGCAAGCTAAACTTACAATTACCTTGAATTGTGACGCCTAATAAAGAAATGTTATTATATTGTTTGATATTGTGAGACATTGGGTAGACTGTTGAATTGCCTCTCTTACGCATAATTAGCTCCTTACATTTACTAGTGTTACAATGCATGTCATTTGCAACAGTCCAATCCATAAACTTGGGCAAGGCAATATCAGATATATCCGGGGAATCTTTAGTAATCGTGACTAAGACAGTTGAATCGTCTGCATATTTAAACAAGGATATATCTTTGTATCCATCTATCTCTAGGTCATTCAAAAATATGTTGAAAAGATATGGGCCACTGACACTTCCCTGTGTTGTTCCCTTGTTAACAATTTTCCACTGGCATGTCAAATTATTAAAAATCACCCTTTTGTTTTCTACCTTCGAGAAAGTTGGCATACCAGTTAACAGTGAATGAATCAAGTGGACTATGTTTCAGCTTTTCAACTATAAGATTGTGTTTAACGTTATCAAAGGCTTTAGAGAAATCCATCGTAAACATTCTCACCGCCACGGTGTCCCGTTTATCCAGTGCCGCAAGAAATGTATGTTGCATTTTCAACAGAGCGTTTACACAACTTCCACCTGAGCGGTAAGCAAATTGAGAATTATTCAGATATTCCTCCAGGCACCTCTTGTTAAAAATGTTATACACTATTCTTTCAAACGTTCTTGCAATAACTGGAGTAACATTGATTCCACTAAAGTCCGCATAATCGACTGGTGTCTCGACTTTGGGGAGTGGATTGATGTTAGCCTCCTTCCAACGACTTGGCCAGATCTGCCGAGCAAGAGATAAGTTCCATAAATTCTCAATCACTGGGGTAAATATCTCAGCATAATCTTTCCAATGAAGCCTGTGATTGTTAAGTAAAAAGCAGGGTGTAGTTATTTGGCAAAAAGCACAAGTTCCCTTTTATTAGAGAGGTTAAGTATCACGTTTACGTCAAACGGCAAACGCGAATTTGTACCACGTGACCAAGTTTCCCGTTTGCTTGTCGCCTACTGTTCATTATTTCTACGCATAAACTAGTAGTTTCACGCAAGAAATGCGTAAGAATTTTCTGAGCTGTTTTTATCTGCTAATTTTCTATTTTGAGAAATCGGCTCCTGTCACTGGCTCGAATCTGACGTTTGCCGTTGGCTGCATACTTGAAGCTTTTAAAAACTCTATCTTCTATGTAGCCTGAATTTCATCCGATTACCTCGAGTCGTTATTACTCCCTCAGAGAGGAGAAAACGACTCGAAACAATCGGATGAATTTCAGGCTATCTTCTAGGGTGTATATTGAAATCTAGATCCTGGGATTTGTAATTTCAAACATTTTGAGAATAAAGTAAAGTTATGAAAAAGATTGGCATCCAGCATTTCTTGTTTCTTGGTGGAAAATGAGTGTTGGTATGCCTGTGATTTGGGTGAAAGGGAAATGGGTCTGAGAGGGCCGAGAAAGGGACTGGTAAGTACAGCGTTTAAAAATGGCGGACGGTGTTGGATGATGAAATTCAAACTCTATGTTGTTTGCCTCCAATTTCTTCATATTTGACACCCTGGAGCCGTCACGCGTTTAAAGAAAACTATTAACTGCGATGAGTGAACATCAGGCAATTCCTGAGCGCCCTCCAGCAGCAAACAGCCCCTCTGTAACTCGTTTTATTCGCTACGAACATCTCGTGGCTGGCGTGTCAGGAGGCGTTACTTCGACTCTCGTTCTGCATCCGTTGGACCTGATAAAAATTAGGTTTCAAGGTAAGGTGCAATGAATAACTTGGTTGTTTGTAACTGCAAATGTATTGCAATTTTGGCAACTGCTGAATACCCTGCCACTCTGTACCACCATTGTTTTCGTTGGTCGGCGTTCTTTGAAGAACGAAGCATAACACAATAGATGCTATTCTTATTCAATGACATGCAAATAAGTGGCAGGGTATTCTGCAGTTAAGCCGCAATTTTAAATGTAATGCTATGCAACTGGCATGAATGTCGAATCTAGGTTGTATAAACACTTCACGACAGACATAATTTTCTCCTAAAAGGTCACCTTGAGCTGGGTCATCCCTTTCTTTAAGATGGAGGTGATAAGCTTGACTCTTGTCTTACACTGACGCACATGGAATCGTTCCAACTGTCATTGCAATTATTATAATGTAGCTTCATTTATCACATTTTCCCAAAAATTAAAATAAATTGAAAAATCTCCATCCTGAACATGGTACCACTCAAAAGTATTAGTTACCACCCTCTCGCGAGACGAGAGTCTCATCTTGGCTCTCGTCTCTCGAGTCGAGAGTCTTGTCTCCCAAGGCAAAGGTCTTGTCTCTGGAGTTGAGACTCTCGTTTGTCTTGCAAGAGGGTTGAAAACCTGTAAGTATCAAATGGTCTTCGGAATGTTGATGGACTTAAGGATGAAAATAATTCTGTGTTCTGCTTTTCTGATCATGTCATGCATTAGACCTCTGATTCATGGCATAAACTTCGATGAAAGAATGCGGTTGTCTTGTACACTTTTACTTGGACCTTTTTATGGCAAAAACAGTATTGAAACTTTTCAAAGTGACTTTCTTTGTTTTATAAAAACTGATCAAACTGAGTCTCAAAACAGCTCATAAGATACCAACAATTATGCTACTTTAAAACGTAAACAAGGAGAGATCAACCAAATGAATGAGCAAACTTTAAAATGCAAACATCAATTATTGCAAGGCAGTGAAAACAGACCAATGGATCTGGTGTCATCAATGTTCATTTCAAACCGACTCAGGGCATGCAAAACATATCCACATTTATAAATGCAAGCTTCGAGAATCTCTTGCTGTTTGGGCCTATAATGCAAAGCAATGAGACCATTTGAACCTCTCATGATTATGTCAAGAGCTGCAGGTTTAGAGATGTGTGATTCCAGAAAATATCCATACCCTCCCCCCACCCCCCACGGATGGTCAATGGAAATTCCTAGGGGATGGGGGGGCTAAAGAGTAGAAATTTCCGGGGGTATGGAGAGTGCCCACAAGAAGAATTTTCCACAGGGTCGTAAAAGACGCGGTCAATCGCACGAGACATACTTAAGTATCTGTGGATTACTTTGATTTGTAGCATAACAAAAATTAGAAGTAGATGCCCTTTCGAGAAAAAAAAACTTTAAGATGTTCGTCTCAAATGTTTTCTTCTTTGCTGAGAGTTCGCTATCATCTCCGCTCTAACGATTTGTCCACATGCTCTAATGATTTGTTCTAACACTCTAACGGATTGTTCTTACGATCTAATGGTTGATTCTAAACAGGTAATGGTCGGTCCATCCAACATTTGACTTTGACGAAGTCTTTAAATAAATATTGTCCTTCGAGCAAATCGATCGCAATTCTTGGTGCAATTCTCAACAGGTCCATTGCTTCTCCTGGAATAAATTTTAGCGCATCGATTAATAATAATTTCTTTATGTCAAACATGTATCTAGATTGCAGATAGTCTGATAAAAACTTATGTGTAGGCTAATCGAGAACAAATGTCGTCTATCTCGGCGCTATATTTCTTGAGCTTTGTGTAAACAATTAAATGCAAATTTCTGTTAACATTCAGTGAGCTCATCGCGACAAAGCGTCGTGTGACGACCCAAATCAGACCTTTGCTGGGTTTTATTATTGACTAACTAATAGAGTACGGTTGAAGGCAAGCTGTTTGTCCAAACGACTTCTAGCCTGTACACACACGTTGTTTTATTTTTCTTATCGTTCTCTTCGAAAACATCGGGGAGCTCGCGAGTGCGCTAGATTGAGCGCGGAACATGAGAAAGAAAAATAAAAAACGTCTATTTTCTTATTCCTCCACCACTACCCCCTTACACTGGCGGTCAATAAATCCCTTGCGGTTTATAATTAATCACCCGCGCTCAACGGACTTTGAAGAGGAAATAGAGGGTCTGCGAACAGGCTAACAGACTTCTCGCCAAATCAACTTTTGCCCGAAAATATTAACGATCTGTTTCTTCTTTGTGGAGGAGACTTTCGACCATGTGCTAGGCAACGAAATAGATCTTGTTTCAGTGATGTTCATTTCTGAACATGAATCAAAGCAAATATGGGACGCAAAATGAATGTTTGTGTATTTTGTTCTTTAATAACCCAAATAGGTTTTTTGTTATTCCTGGAATTTATGTAACTGCAAGTGTAATTCATTCAAAGTTAAACTTAACTACAAACATCGAGAAATCGACTTTTGGTGACTTTAGGAGCTGAGGCCGAACATTTAACGATAAACTTTGTTTGTAAGTTAGTTGTCTAGTGGATCTGTTTTGAAATTCTAATATCTTCACATAGTTTAATGTTAAATCAATAGTTAACTTCGAAGTTATGCTGTAAATGTTGCATTTAATAATAATAATAATAATAATAATAATATTTGTTTATTTCCACCATTCGCAGATTTCTGTGAATTACAGGTAGGGTCAGGCAAAGCACTTACAAACATACAATTATAAATATAAATATATAAATATAAAAACATAAATAATTATAATAAAGTAGTAATATAGTAGACATCGCATACACATTATTACACACAATTGATATACGGCGCATAGTTAACTGACACGAATTCTGAGAACCGGTCAGATCGGCCGGGTAACACATGGCATGATGGTCCTGACCTCAGTGAATACGAGGTTTGCGACGAGATGACCCTGCTGGATATTAGGTGGTAAGCGGGCTAACGTGCATAGTTTCCGTCACAAATTTCTTGCACGCCAGGTGGCGTCTGGCCTCTAGAGACAGAAGCCCGGCACGCGCGAGGGTGTCCTCGTAGCTCAAGTCAGGACCAAAGATGATTCGTAGGGCTCTCTTTTGCACTCTTTCTAAAGCCTTGCAGAGATACTGCGGTAAATTTGCAAAAACTACTGATGCATACTCTAGAACAGATCTTGGTAGGGAGCAATACACAGCCACCAACTCCCCATCTTGCACCCCACAAGCTTTCAGTTTTCTTAGAGCATAAAGGCGGCGGTTTGATTTCTTTATTATATAGTCGCAATGAGTCGACCAGCTGAGGTTCGAGGAAATGTACACCCCGAGGAGCTTAAACGATTCCACCGATTCAATAACAGAACCTCCTACCGCTATTGGTTGACTGTAGCAACTATTATAATGCAAAAAATCAACCCGCATCAGCTTGCACTTACTAGGGTTACTAGGGTTTGAGATGAAATTGACTTAGACAAGACATGTACATAGTGAAACTTAATTACAATACCAGAAATCAACTTTGTCTAACTTTGTCTGTAAGTAGATTCATTTTAAAATTCGAAAAATAATGTTCACATAGTTTTATTTCAACGAATAATTCAAATTTAAAGTTATGTTCATCTCAAGAAAACATTTAATGTTTTCTTGAGATGAACAAGTTAATAATATTAATCTCTGTTTTCGTGCCTCGCGCGTTTCGCTGGACAGACTAATAAAACAGAGAGACTGTAGATAGTCTATCAAGCATGCTATACCGGCATAAGAAATAGGTATTGCCTTTGTGTATTAAGATAAGAACAGTTAATTTTAAGTGGTACACAGTCGATAATCTCTAAATGCGGCAAATTCAGACCATCAGAAGGAAAATAGGAAATTCCTGGGGGGTGGGGGGTTATACATGACCCCTCTGGAGCAGAAATTCCAAGGGGGGGGGGAGGATGGGGTATGGATATTTTCTGGAATCACTCAATTTACATTTGCAGAGTCGCTAAAATTTGTTTGATTGGTAACAACTTTACATGTAACTTGACACGTGCAATTTTTATTCCTTGGATTTTTGCTGACTTTAAGATGGACCAAATTAGTTCAAAGAAGTTTAAATTGTTTGTAAACGAGAAATATTCCTAGACTGTTTAAAACTTTACTTCGGTTTCAAGCTTAATCACGACAGCGCTTTGACAAGAGAGTTTCGTTGTCATTTTCGTTCTCAGTTGTAGAGATGTCGAGCTTCCCTAACATATTCCAAAATTGATGCTTAAGTAATTCTCATGAGACGATTCTTTTGTCTTTCAAGACAAGGCACTTGTCTTTAGAGATGAGACGCTCATCTCATGAGAAGTGAAACTAGACTGGTAACTTACTTTTAATTTGAGCGGTACTGTACATACATACTCCAGATTTCCTTCTCATAGGAGAACCAAAGACTCATACCTGTCCATGTGATGGGTTTTTCAAATACAAATCCCCCTAATTTTCGGCGGCCATTTCAACCATTGCTTTTGAGATATACAGCCATAGTACAGTATATGAGATGTACAAGTTACAAAATTTTAATAATTTATGCTCTTTCAGTTCCTGCTAACGTGATTATTCCAAAGTTAAGCCTTTCAGGATTAATTTATTTATAGAAAGTTGATCAGGTGACCAACTATTCAAAAGGCCTATGATGAGCTAGAAAATAGAAACATGATGGACTTGGAAAGAGAGGAAGATAACAGGTCTTGTACAGCTGTACTTCCCCAATCTGTGGTTCACATGATCTTCATTAGAATTATGCTTCTTTTCATTAAATTAACAATTATTAAATGAGGCTGAGTATCTTATAATTATAAAGAATTTTGTGGATCGAGGAGGGTTGGCTGAGGCGGATAACACCCTCCGAGACCTCCATAATTCTTCATGTGATACAAAAGCTGAATTCAATGAATGCTTTATTATTCATTAAAAGTAATTCCTAGTTTAAAAACAAAGCTAAAACATGCTTACCTCCATCGATCTTAAGTTCATCTTCGATAGTGCACATTTAGGGTTGTTCAGCTCGGCAAATATTCTCTAAATAGCAAATGTTGCCCTTAGAGTTGCTTTCTTGCTGTTCTTACATGTACCATGTTTTTAGCCATTATTTCACCTAGTTCTTACTCTTGAAACGAGTGAAATGTCCACCATTTTTTTTTTCACAACCAAAACAACTCAACCTAGTTCCCAGGTCTTCTCTGTTAATGGTGCATTAACCTGCAAGAAAGCTGCACTTTTGACGTGATCGGTTGATTAATTGCAAAATTCTTCCAAATTTGGTCATCAGTAGCTGGTTATGGTAAATTATGCATGTGCTTTTAGCCAATCAGAATGGGGGAAATATTTTGAATGAATAATAATATGGGTTTATCAAAAAACCTAAAATCGACTTTTTACCAAATTTTTCACCTGATTTTACATGAAATAGACAGATTTGGTTGTTTTATGCTGAAAAGTGGATTTTTTTCAAATAGCTTGGTACTTTGCTTAAGGTGAACTTCTCCCAATGTACAGGTACTGTGTTGAGTACTGCAGCACTAAGACAGCCAAGAATTTGAATCCTTTTCAAGTCCTTACAATTCTTGGGCTTAATTTGCTGTTAATCCCCATCTGCATGTAGAAAACAAAATAATAATTATTTTAATACATTTAATGTGACTGTTTCATTTTTCATCTGAATGTTTTCATTAATATTATTAGTTAATGATGGCAGTGGGAAGTTGCCAGCATACAGAGGTTTAGTTGATGCAGTGCAGTCCATTGTCAGAACTGGGGGTTTAAAGGGGTTATACCAGGTTAGTAAATTTTATAGTAAAAAGAACCTTGTGTTTGGAGACTGGTTTGTTTGTTTTCATTCATCATGAAAAAATACAGATTTTTTTATACTTTTCTGAAGTTGGTAAGCTTACATGTAGCAGTGAATTCAGCAAGGAATAATCGTTCTCATTTTGGGAATTTTGAACAATCATTCCTTTATTTGTAACTTTTGTAACTTTATTTGATTTACCACAAAATACAAATAACGATAAAACAAGACAGTTACACAAAAGCAAATGAAAGTGGTGAGGAAGCCCAAAAAGAAACCATGAGGCTTATAGACATTGGGCTCCCTCAGAGTAAAAATAAAGTTAACAGTAACTGTAAGGCCAGGATCGAAAGTAAAATACAATGAAGGTAAGTATAAATTAACTAATTACATAGACTGAGTTAAGTTGACAAAATATAAGGTATGGTACATGTATCAATAAGATATAACTATTTACTACAAGATTTATAACTAATAATTCACCTATATATTTTTTTCAATTTCGTTTTGAATAAGTGAAGAGAATTAGATTCTTTAATATCATTTTCTATAGAGTTATAATAAGTAGGTCCTTGGAAACTGACAGAAAATTTACGAAGGTTTGTTCTACAAAAAGGAAGGTGAAAATTGTTCGCGTGTCTAGTCTAATTATGCAACTGTTAAGGGTTAACTTTACACTGTATTATTAGTTACACACCAAAACACCAGCATGCAACAACATGGTCAGTGAAGGTCACCACACCTTGTGCCCCCTTCCGGTCACGCTTCTGCTAGCGTTCCATTCTCTGTGTGTAATCCAAATAGAGAATACTTCAGACAAGTTAGCTCCCAAAGTACAACAGTGAAGACTTTCTGTCAATAAACAAAGTTTTTGACCAAAAAAGCTATAAGATTATCAGCTAACCTATTTAGCTCACCTTTCTTTTCTTTTCTTTTTTTTAACTGATAATGAGTACAAGTTTTTTTTTATGAATTCCAGGGTGTGACTCCTAATGTATGGGGCAATGGGTCTGCATGGGGACTGTACTTTTTCAGGTAAGTGATTAGAACAGGCAACAAAACAATATTTTGTGCAGAATTCTTTATTTTGTACCTTCATTAGAATTTATGTACAATTATTTAACTGCACATTACTGGGTATATGCAAACTGAGCAGCTAGGAGGTTCTTTTCTTTCTATTTTCTTCTTCCGTATCTGTTTGAGTTCCTACTGCTCCTATTTTCTTCTCTCGTAAATTTGTACATTTGCATACTTTAGTAGCAAGAGGAAAAACCCAGCACTTGGGAACCTGGCCCAGGTGGAATCAAGCATAGATTGAAACGACAGAACCTTCTCGTTAGTTTTTAAGGCCGTGGTTTTAAAGAGCGTTTAAACTAGGTTTTTTTATGAGGTTTTGCTGATTGTGTAAAAAAGAATTTTAAAGGCGTGAGCTAAGAAGCTATTTTGTGCCATGTATCAGTTCTTATTTACTTTTAATTAGTTTTTGGTTTCTTCATACAGTTATAACATTTTAAAAGCTTGGATGCAGAAGGACTCAGATAAGCCTCTTGGAGCAGAGAAACATCTTCTTGCTGGGACTATAGCAGGTACATGTAACACAACTCTCGCACCACAAATAGTCCAAAACTTCGCCGCCCACGTATTAACAGATACTAAAAAGTTTAATCACATCTCCTTTTTCTTTGGGAATTAGGGTGGCCCTCCATCAAAGATCAGCTTTTAGTCCGTGATACTACCCAAGGACGCAAAATTGTTAATAGCCTCGCTCCATTGTACTTGAGAAGTAAACTCAGTAAGCGATCAGACGTACACCACTACCACACGAGGAAAAGGGGCAATCTAAATCTCCCTCTATGCAGAACAGTTACTGCGCAACGGTCATTTTACTATCGCGCTGTAAGTGCCTGGAACTCTCTGACTGCAGACACTAGAAACAGCCCGTCATTATGTACCTTTAAGAGGAGCGTCAAACGCGAATTGCGGGAGCAGATTCCATACGTTAAATAGTTAATATTTGATTTAGTTTAGATCTCCAACGAGATAACGTAATTGTACACGCATAGTTTAGGCTTTTAGTTTTGTACCAAGATTGTAATCATTTTAGGCTTTTTCTTCTTACCCCTTTCTTTTTTTAGCGTTTGTAATTTAACTTCACAATAGCCCTTTGGGAGAGTTAATAAAATTTATTGTGTTGCTTTGTATGATATAACAGCAATCAAGTTCAAACCAAACTCTTGTGCCCCCTTACACAGTGTCATCCCCAATTGTCGGTCTGTGATGATTTATACACAAAGTTGAGAGGATTGGGTGACACCCAGTATCCATCTTATAAGTTGAGTTGATGTATTTTCCTCCCTTTCAGGAACTGGAACACTAACAGTAACAAATCCAATATGGGTTCTCAAGACTCGCCTCTGTCTTCAGTACACTGGTTCACCAGCTGCCGTTACTCAAGCACCGCAATACAAAGGGATGCTTGGTAAGAAAAAAGGAAACTTGGCCAACTTGACTTTTGCAAAGACTTAAGGGATTGTTACTGGGGACAGGGAAAAAACTGGCCAATACCTGACTGGCGCGCCTCCAGTAAAAATCCCAGAAACAATTGCGGGATGCATTTCGGCTCCAGTTCTCTGGTCGTTTCTAAAGTGCGGAATGGGCAAACCGGTCGGTTCACGGGTTGCGTGAATGGTATGAAAAATTCAGGCCCAGTAATTTTCATTCCGGAATCGTGTTTACTATTTGTTTTACAAATCAGTTCCACCTATAGAAAAACGGCCGCGAAAGCCTGAAACTGGTATCAAAAATAAGTTTTAACAAATGGAGCTCGAATCTCCTATTTTGATCGTAACCGCTACAGCTTTTTTCGAAGCGCTTTATCTGGTCCGGTTATAAGACCCCTCGGATACAAGTCTTCCTGAAACCTAGTACAAAGATTAACCCAGGGGCACTTGTAAGCAGCAGTTTACGGAATACAGTTGACTCCCGATAACTCTAACCCTCACTAACTCGAACCTCGCGCAAACTCGAACCAAAATCGATTTCCCTTGGATTTCCTTCATACATTTACTGTAATTTTACCCCCCGGTAACTCGAACCTCCCGCTAACTCGAAGTAATTTATGTTTCCCCTCAGATCTTTCCATATAAATTCACCCTCGATAACTCGAACCCTGTTTTGAGCGCTTAAAAAGTCGGAAAAAAAAACATTGTACTGTCGTCCGAAACATTGAATTTCCCATGGACGTGTTGTATGCATGTATCCGTTACTAGTGGAGGCTGATGTTGTTTGTCACAAATCTGACGTGAAACAGCTTTACTACTCAAAACAGGAAAACGCATGCTCTATTTACTGGGGCTATGTTTTTTATGTTACATTCTGATTTATAATCTAGAAGTATCTTTCAATTTTCACTTAACATTCATTTTCTACAATTAAATGTGATTAAAATGCTCACTGTACACAGTAAAAACGGGTTTTTCCCTTACTTCCGGCTATTTACTCCGAGCTCCCGATAACTCGAACTTTTTTCAATTTCCCTTGAAGATTCGAGTTCTCGGGAGTCGACTGAACTAACGTTTTCCTAAGAGGAGGTGGATAGTGGTGGACACATACCCTGAGTATATACCGTAAACTTCCAATAAATTAAAAGCCTTAGGCTTATACAACTTCTTAAGGCGTTTTAGAGGAGCTTATAAACGGGGGCGTTTATATTCAGGGGGGCTTATAACTAGACTGAAAAAGTGTTTCAAAACCAGCTACATAGCAGTGCCAATCAAAATCCTTTTTGAATTTGATCGCTTTTTTGAACTTCAAAACGTCGTAATTAGTCGACTTCATTTCAATACATGTTAGAAGGGAGTTATATTCGGGGTGGGGAGGGTGGAGGGGCTATTACCGAGTAATCGCCTTCTCTCGAATAATCGCCCCCTCTTTGTACCCCCGGTTATTATTCAAAGAAATACGATATCTATAAATATGCACCGACCCAGGGACGGAGGTTTGTTTTAGTATTGAGCAGCAAATCAGTTGGGAAGAAATGAAAAGTAAATTTCTGTAAATAAAAGACGTCACTTAGTAAGAGCTTTGTATAGTTGTTGAGTAACAGTATTTCGCGGACTTCTCTAGTGTATTATTTTCAGTATTTTGTTGCAAATTAAGAATGAATAATTTCCTACCTACCTGTAAACACTACAGCTGCTCAGTGTTTTGTCGCTAAAATGTCGTCTTCCGAGATTGTTGCGCAACGAGACGCCATGTCAGAACTCCTGTCCCAAAACAGTGTATAGCCAGGGATAGTCTTGTAGCGTTACAGGGTGCAATTTAACAGCGCCGTCCACTAATTTGCGCCTCGTCAGTGAAATATAGCCCGTCTTTTCTTTGCACCTGGCCAGGTAAAGTGCTTCTGAACACCGCTTTGGCGGTACAGGGGTGCGTGGGATTAGCTATACCATGCTGATGAGCACTAATTAGGGCCAAACAGCTGTGCATGGCTGCCATTACCCAAGATATACGGCTGTGCGTATGCGTGAGGTACTGTTAGGATGCCCCGCCTTCGTGACTTGACGATCTTCTGCGGAGCTAGGGAACTCCCATAAAAGTGAAGGGGGCATGGTCGCATTCTCATTGCAGATTATATTTTGGTCTCACTTGGGGAGTTCAGGCAGAAAAACGGACGATTATATTTTATATTAATACCTTCTCACTGTGTTGGAGAACCGTCTTCTTTTGGGGTTAGATAATGCCTGAGTCACGCGCAAATTGGTTTCTATAAGTACACACCCCTCCCCCCTCGCCTCAGGATCCTAATGAGTGGAGGGGGGGTACACAGGCTAGTAAAACTTCCACTAAGCATCCCCGTTTCTTTCAAACTGGAATCTTCTTAACATCTTTCTTATAAGCATTGATAGCACGTCATTCAAAGCTTATCAAATAGCCACATCCCTTCTCCACTATTAAACCACGGGACTCTTGAATAAGTGATACCGAGCCGGGCGAGTGGGGGAGGTAGCGAATGACAACTGATGAAAGACAAAATCCGTACCAAACAAACAAGAATTTAATGGCCAGTTAGTGGAAAAGAAATACAATAAAAACACTGTAGGTAGTGACTAGGAAAACGAATAAAGCAACAAAAAGAGAAAGAAAAGGGGCAATGAAAAGGGCAATAGTGCCACTCCAGCGAGGGGATAACTCCACAAAGCTATGTCCTACTGCTTGACTAGTGAACGCGGCAACTGGAACTGTAGTAATGCGTGGAAACGCGACGTGCAGGCGTATTTATATCTCGCTGAACACAAAAAGCTCGCATCCTGTTATTAGCAATACAATTGGACAACTATAGCTAGGTAAGCCGCAAAACAGTGAAATCTTCCTTTTGGCAATACGCCTGTTGGTAAAACACTATTATCGCTTTACCGCAGAGTACATACGTGTTCTGTTAATACAATAGGAGGAAACAAATGGAGAGTTTGGCGGTTAACTACAGCAATGGCGGCAAATTAAAGCGAGCTAAAATCAACGGTGGAGAAATCACAGAGCTAGATAAAACACGGCTAACCACAAAGCAGAACTAAAGAAATGCGTACCGTGGGCAAACGATAAACGGAACCGCAAAAATAATACCGAAAAGAAAATGCTTTATGAGCTAATTATCGAGCTCGGTTACATAAGCAGCATTATAAGTCTTTAATTGGACAATAATGTAATTAAACGCAAGACCTAGAATAAAGATCAATAAAGGAAAAGCAAAAGATAATCATACAACCATTAACCTTTTATTTGTTTTTCCTTTTCCAGATGTCTGACCTTGAATTTGAAACCGTGTTGCTTTTATGCAAGACACTTTCTCAGAGTCATATTTCAGGGATAGGTCTTGACCCACGCATCACATTGGAAAGTTGTCCACAGCGCTTTACGATATGTCTAAGAAAAGAGATCATTCTCATTGTGTTGAATTGCACAGTTGTTCAGCAAAGTTTGTCTATCCCATTTCCTTTGTCTCCTTGTTGATTTGCGTTACTGCTATGGTTCGCGTGGAACTTATTAGCCAGCGTGTTCATCGCGTGGAGAATATCGTGGCGGAAGTCAAACAAACGCCATTGAAGAGCAAAGGAAAGGAAGCAAGCTCCATACCTTTCAATGATTTTGATCAAGTGGCTTTAGAAGCTGAACGAATTATGACAGGTGAGGTAGATAGAAACCTCTTACACTCCTCATTAATCATCTCTTATTTGTACTCAAGGTGCACCGATTTGTAAATTTGGAGGACTTCGCACTTCGCGTAAATAACCTGCCATTTCAGAGCTTTACCTCTGAGAAGTCGTGAGTTGTCGCTAAATATTGTTCATTTTGTTATCTCTGCTTTTAATTTTCCACTTAAAAACGAGCAATACATGGAAAAATTCTTACGTAGTGGCTGCCTGCCCGAATTCTCGAGTATCCGTGTATTGATGGCAATTTAGCCTTGACTCACCCCCGGCGGGTACTCCCTTATAAGGGCTTAATGAGGACGTGCGGCCAGCCAGGGTATGTTTTTCGCGATTTTTGTCTTAAACAGGGTATCGAATTTATCATTTTTTGTCTTAATCAGGGTATCGATTTATCAATTTTTGTCTTAAACAGGATATCTTTTCTTGGACGATAAACAGCAAAATTTTTACAAGCTCTAATGTTAATTAATATTGACTTCCGTTGACTTAAACAGGGTATCCAAAATCGGAATTCTGTCTTAAACAGGGTAGGAAAATCAGCGATATTTGTCTTAAACAGGGTCAGGGTATGAGGGGCCGCGCCGCACCTCCCCACCTAGGGATATATCGAGTACCCCCCCGGACTCACCTTAGTTTCCAAAGTGAAGGTCGCTATGATTCACTGCACGAGAGTCTTAAGTATTGATTAGAATCTCCCGGACGGACGCCTCTTTAATACAAATACCTCTCTATCACGCCTATTACGGACAGTTTTCTTGAACAACTAATATGCTGATAATGTGAAGTCAGCTGTGAAGTTCCATACAAACCTCTATAACACCCCTGTCATGCGGATGACACTGGTGTCCATAATTTGTTTAGGAAGATATTTTAACGCAGCTTAATGTAGTGCATGGGTTCAGGAGGCTTCATTTAACGTTGAAAGTTAAAGAAATAATCATGATTCTTCACTCTTCACTGGATTGACATTCATTGATATTCTTTTTTTTTGAAATAATCCATTAAACTGGCTCTAGCAGAGAAAGGTATTCAAAAAGTTTCCGATTTCGGAAGGAAGTCGCTACATGCCTTGAGGCTTCAATCTTTTCATCTAAGTTGTCATTTTTCAAGTCCCTGATTTAAAGCAAACGTCTTGCGATTCAGGTCAAATGAAAGATCTCCAGTACCCAAAACTGCACTCTTCTTTTCTCTACCTATATAAGATTCTTTCTGCATCGTTTAAATTATCGGAAAAACACCCCACAAGGGATACTCCTCCACTCTGCTGCGTGACAGGTTTGACTTTTTGAAAATGTAATCAACATTTAATGTTATCTGCAGTTGATAATCAAAGGTCAAGAACCCGCCGATCACAACCAGGTAGAGCTAAATCGAAGATTACCGTTGAAACAGTCAGAAAAGAGATAAACAAGACTTTAAATTCTTTGATGCGCACGCCACAGGCATTTTGTTCACCCAAAGAAAAAGTCTGCATGCAAGGTCCGCCGGGAATACAAGGACCTAAAGGATCACGTGGTAGAAGAGGACCGCGGGGATTCACGGGAAAGAAAGGACCACGAGGTGACACAGGGATCCCAGGGCTGCACGGAAAACAGGGACCCACTGGACCACCTGGTGAAAAAGGAAAAGAGGGAGAACGAGGTGCTCCGGGGCCTCGGGGATTCCCCGGTGCAAAAGGAGATCCTGGAGAATCAATTTCACTTCCATCAGTCGTGATTACTCCTAATCATCAAACGGTCAGAGAAAACCAGAACGCATTGCTCCAGTGTTCTGCAACTGGAAACCCAGGACCGTCCGTGACTTGGTATCGTTCAAATGGGTCGAGTTTACCTAGTCATTTCCGTTACCAACCGGATGGAAAGTTAATAGGAACTCGCGTGACTCTATCAGATGCTGGGAAATACATTTGCGTTGGTAGAAATTTGCTTGGGTCAACGAATCAGTCAGCTATGTTGGCCATTGAAGGTAAATACATGTGAAGTTTTAATTTGTATAAAAAAAAATAAAAAATAAGGAGTGTTTAATAAAAAAATAAATAAAATAAATGAATAAAAATAAATAAAATAAAATAAATAAATAATAAATAAAAAATGTCTTTCTGTAAACCATTTATTTTCGTCTTTGTTGTGTAGAAGTATCATTACCAAAGTATAATGCCCTGCTTGTTATAATAGATAACACTGATACGATCCAACTCCAGTTGATTCAATTGGACCCTTACCTTTCATAACAAAGCGCTCTTGAATTGACCAAAGGACGACCCTATGTTTCTGTTTCTGAAGCTCTAAAGACTAAGGCACAAGCCATGCGTTCCGTGGTGGGACGTTGAGAGGTGTGGGAGCCCCTATCTAATAATAATTTGCAATGGGCCATTTGCACGATGACATCATGGGTTTTCCTGTCTTGTGCAAATTACGGCTTTTGTCATTTAAATATCGCTGGGTTTACCAAATTTAAATATGAAAAGAAAAACGCAAAGGATTCTGGTTGAAGTAGTAAAATGACGCCATCGTGACGCCATCTACTATTCTTGGGTTGCACGTGACGTCACCAAAAATCAAACTAAGAAACTATCGATTCTTCTGAGTTTCTACTTTCACGAGGTATTACAGTACCTAAACACCTTTACATAAAAAAATTTTTGGTTCGAAAGGGTTCTTCGTTTTGCGAGAGAGGACGCTTGAATTTCCAGGCTTTTGCGTGACGCGGCATTTAGCTGGCGGCCGGGAAAGCTCTTACGTGGGTTAAAAACATAACCGATTTTGGGAGATTTTGCAATCTAAACATTCCTTGTCTCAGAATAAATATTACTGTAATCTGTATGAGTTCCTCAAGCGAAGAATTCACGTATTAGTAGGAAAACTCGAAAACAGATGTTTCTGTTGGTATCCGGCGGCCATATTGGTGTTCCTGAAAGGGACACCAACATGGCGTTTCCATACAAAGCTTTATAAATTTTGGTAAACCGTTTTTCCCAATATCTCGCATTTTAAATATTTCACAGACCTGATTCTTGGCAAGGGTTTTTGTATATTTATCTTTTTTCATTTCCCAGATTCTAGTCCTTCTGTATTGAATGGTTTGCATTTTTATTTTTCATTGCGTGACAGTGCAAGCCAAGAATAAGGTCTACAAGAATGTATCGTTTTGAGTGTTATTTTTTGATACGGGTTAATATGACTCACTAGGTTTGAATTCGCATAACTTCCGATTATTGCAAGCTAACGTACCAAGCAATGATATTTTCATTTGTTGCTAAGACGTTACAATTCTTTATTTTAGCTCCTCCTCGAATTCAACTCGATCCAGGTCCCACTCATGTTAAAACAGGGCTAACCGTAAGGCTTCCTAAATGCTACGTAACAGGATTTCCTACAGCGGATGTGACATGGAGAAGAGTTAAAGGCGTTCTTCCAGGGAACAGGGTCGTTTTAAACAAGGGTACGTTATCGTTGATCGCCGCTGAGAAAAATGATGCTGGAATCTATGAATGCACAGCGAGGAACCGTCTAGGCCATGAGTCTTCTTTAACCTCGCTGTTTGTATGGTCTCCTCCCTCGTTCGTCACGAAGCCTCCTAGCAAAGTTAATAAAGTTACAGGCGAAGAGTTGACCTTGCGTTGTTCTGCCTCTGATCGAGCCTCTCTTTCGTGGAAACGTGTCGGTGGAGCCTGGGAAGGAGAACGTATGAATGACCGAAATGGAACATTGACGATTACCTCTCTTAAAAAATCTGATTCTGGTTCTTACGTCTGTGAAGCTAAGCTACCACTTAATAACATAGACGCGACGACTGTCTTGAGAGTAACAGGTCAGTAACTGAGATGTGCCGTATAAAAAAGTGATTGTTATCTATACCCGTAAGTAAGGAATGTTTGGGTCGGTTGGCATGTCATATCTTTTCATTTAATCGAGTACGCGGAAAAGTGATTTTGTATCTTATACCCCAAAATAAATTTCTCAATGCTTGGAGGATAGCAATTCCCCCTCCTTGCTACATTGCGTCAACAAACTTAATCTTTTTATCTTCTTTTTAACTCTACAACTCAAAAACCAATTCTACAGGGCGATATTTGACTTGAAAACTATACATAGAGGGAACTTTTTTTCCATGCCTCCTGAAAGTTGATATTGCTAAAGAATAGGTACCTTAACTTGGGCAGATAAGTCACCATTTATCAATACTCTTTGACGTCTGTCAGCAAGATATGATCGGAACCAAGGCAGTGATCTTGAAGACAAACCTAGAGACTCTAACTTTCCCAGGAGACTTTTATGATTCGCAGAATCAAATGCACGTGGTAAAGTTCTTACAATTTGAGACTGACAATAGTGCGCTGTTTACTACCGTAATCACGGCGGCTCTGATTGTCGCGCCATCACAATCGGAGTCCCACAGGGGAGCATTTTGGGCCCTTTGCTATTCAACAGTTGTGTTAACAGCTTGCCAAATGCAGTTAAAATCGCTCGTGTGATTCTGTATCATCCGAAGCACTCAATTCCCTTCAATGGATCCCTCTGGCTGGACGACGTTTCGCGGGAAATACCAGAGCACCTAGAGACTTTTAAAATAACCTTACATAACACAAGAAACAATTACTTACCTAGAATTCCAAGCCCGAAAACGGAATGGGGAAAAAGAACAACTTACTATAGGTACATTAGTACGGTGGCCCAGAAGGATCAACATGCAAATTAAAAATGTTGCTGCAACCTAAAAATAGTACATGCAAATTAAAAATTGTACATGCAAACTAAAAATTGTGCTGCAAATTGAAAATAGAAAACATATCGATGCAAAGAAAAAAATGAAAAGTCCTGCGCGTGCAGTATGAGTGATGAGGACTTGGTCCGAGCCGTGCGACCTGGCCTGACAGCCGTCGGCCCATTCATGTTTCATGTTTTTAATAGTTTTAGTTTGCATGTACAATTTTTAATTTGCACGTCCTATTTTTAATTTGCAGCAACATTTTTAATTTGCAGGTAAAATTTTTAGTTTGCAGCAACATTTTTAATTTGCAGGTAAAATTTTTAGTTTGCAGCAACATTTTTAATTTGCATGTGTGGCCCTTCTGGGCCACGCGTACATTAGCGACTGGTCAACTCTTCCGAATTTTCTAAGGAAACCTGTTGCTTGCAAATTTTTACAGTCAAACCAGGTCAAGCGTTCCCGTCGCTAACGAACTAATGAATTGATTCACGGAAAAATGATTTCGTTTGTTGATTCAATAATCCATTCATAAAATGAACAATCCAATAGTCATATTTAGCCTCGATTCCATAATCGAATGTTGATTCGATTTCTGTTTTTTGAAAAATTACACTTTCCACAAGTTGACCTCAGAATTTTGTTTTTTGCTCTTTTTTTTTCTGAGAGTCGAGTGCTGGCGAGTTCTGAAGTTCAAACCCAAACAAACTGTTACATGTACGCCAGTTTGCTGCCAATAATCAGTGCAACAGACCTAGGCCTGACCTCTTAGGAAACACGACGGTCAAACTGAGGTCAGTGTATGTGCGGTGATTGGTGGATTTCGATCCTCGGCCTTTGTCAGTTTCTTTGCGTTTGCGGTCTGTCTATTCTAACTGTTATTTTGATTAAAGGCAATGAAAAACGCAATCGTAAACGGCAGGAAAAGGGAAGCAAATACGATTGAACACTACAGACAAGAATAAAGAACAGGTAGATTTTGTTCATAAACCAAATCAACATTTGATTATTGAATCGAGGTACAATTTGACCGTTGGATTATTCATTTTATTAATGGATTATTGAATCAACAAACGAAATCATTTTTCCATTAATGAATTCATTAGTTTGTTAGCGACGGGAACGCTTGACCTGGTTTGACTGTAAACGGGACGGTGGGACCTAAAAAAGTTTTTAAGAGCCAAATATTGTTGTTTGTAAATTTTAATTTTATCCTTTTAGTCGTTAGCCTTTGTTTTTTCGATAGTTAAATCTTTTAGTCTGATTGTATTTTTATTACTTTTTCCCTTTTTTAGTTGTCTAGCCTTTTTAGCCTTTAGATTTGATTGACATGTTATTAGTAGTTTTAATATTATTTAATCTTAGTCAGAGGTCCTCCCTGAAAACCATTTTATGTGATTTGAGTTTCCTCTATAAAGATTATTTTATTATTATTATTATTATTATTATTGGCAGTGGAGTAAGATAAATTGTGGAGTATCAAATTTTCACTTTTATTGCCTTAGAAACTTGACGACTAGACCTAAAAATATAAGAAGTATTTAGAAACTGATCGATTTTGAGACCACTAACGCAAAATCAAAGTCGGCATAACCTGCATGCATAGCCAGCGTTTCTGCGCTGACAGAGAGCGGAAACGCTTGCTAAGCAGGCTAAAACTTACAAAAGTGATAATTATCAATTTACAGATCCTCCCTTCAACTTTACAACAAACGGACGTAAAGGACGCCAGGGAAGTATTCAGAAGTTCACAGTTCCAATAACTGCCCGTTATTTGATAAAGGCTTGGGGTGCTCGTGGAGGAACACATTCCACTAATTATGGAAGCTATCCTGGAACCTACTACGGTGGAAAGGGTGCATTCAAGGAGGGGATATTCACACTGAATAAAGGAACTGTACTGAACATTGTAGTAGGGCAAAGGGGAGGAGATTCAGTAGAGGTTAAAGGAGGGCAATCGACTAGCAGAACGGCAGCTGAGCTAGGGCTGTCTGTAGAGGACAATGCTGGGACAGGGGGAGGGGGAGGAAGTTTTGTTTATACATCCGTTAATTCACTTTTGTTAGCTGCCGGAGGGGGAGGGGGTGCACATGCAGGATACAACGGGGTAGATGGTCAGGCGGGTACTAGTGGTACCAGTAGTGTGGGGAAAGACTCGTCGCGTGTTCGAAGGGGAGGGACTGGGGGACAACCGGGTCAGTGTAATTCAGAAGGTGGTAGCTACCACGGGGGAGTGGGTGCAGGTTGGTTAAGTCAGGGATGTGTCAGAAAAGGATCCAAACACGGAGAGAGAGGTGGATCTCGCGCTCAGGGCTGGGTGGGAGGGAGAGCCGGTGGAATGAATAGTGGTTATAATGGAGGACCACCCCCTGGTGCGGTAGGAGGTTTTGGTGGTGGGGGTGGTGGGTCTGAGGATAACGGTGCATCGGGCGGAGGAGGAGGATACTCTGGTGGAGGAAGCGGTACTAGAAATCAGGCTGGGGGTGGTGGGGGCTCGTATTGCAGTGGTTCGAGTTGTTCTGGCGCTACTGGTGGGAACCTAAAGGATGATGGATTTGTACGAATTATCGCGTTATCGAACTAATTTAAAAGCCCGTCCAAGTCGTTAAGCGATAAGAGATAAATTTGCAATTTGGTACCCGAACAGGCACAGACCATAGTGACTGAATGTTGTTTTTAGAGCTTTTTTAATATTTCGACAAATAAAAGGTCCTCACAGCCTGACCTGGGTCTTAACTAATCTTTACATCAATAAAATGAAGTATGTTTTAAACAACTGAAACTAAAATTTTAATGTTGTTGGCCGTCTTAAGGCCAAGACATAAACCAGCAATCCGCACATAAATAACTCTTCCGACTTAATCTTGAAGAGATCTGTAAAGCATGATAGGAAGACTTTTTAAATAACATGTGTATGTACTTTTACTATATATATTGTTTTGTAAAGACTGAAATATAGTGAGTATTTTTAACTACTCTTTATTTCGTTTATTTGTTTTTGTTAAATAAATCAAGGAGTAATCCATTTCTGTTATCGTTTGATTAGAATGATAAATTCTACCCACAATTCCACGGGTCTCTAGCTGTGGGACTAATTGAAATGAAAATTCTATTTGCCTTGGTTTGCGTGATATCAACATTTGTCTGTGTGAGTCGTCCATAGCGGCGTTTACTAGGTATTCCAAAAACAATAGAGAGGATGGTACGCGCGTAGGGGATCGACAATGTCATACGCCCGCGGGCTGTCTGCAGTGGCGGATCCACACCACCCCCCTCCCCTTATCTCAGGGTCCGTGGATTCCGGATTCCAGTATTTGTCTGTGGAACTTGGATCCTGGATTCCAATTGTTAGTGGGATTCCGGATTCCTTGAGCAGTATTCCACATTCCAAAACCCAGGATTCCGGATTCCACACCCTTACATGGGGCGATACGTCGCTCCTCAGCCTCCGAGTGACACAAAGAAACCTCTTCGGAGAAGAGGTTCAAAAAAAGATAACACTATCAACCAGTCCAACAAATCGCAATGAATTTTGAGGTAATCGAGAATAAATAGTTTGTGCGTTCTGATTGGTTAAAAACCTATGGTTTATTGTGCCGGTAAACTCATAGAAACTTAAAGTTATTTTATAAAAGCAATAGACCACTGTTTCTAGGGGTTTACCGGCGTGATAACCCACTTGGAATGTTGGGAGAACACTTGGAAAGCTTGTAAATCACTCGCCTTCGGAGTTTTTCCCCCGCTTGTCGGCCATTTTTTTAAGCGGGCGTGGGAACCTTTACGAAGTTTGATCATGAGTGGTCAGTTATCTCTTCTCCTTGTTCCAAATATAGTACTTGAATAATCATGAGCATCGGACAAAGCAAACATCTGAGCACGTTTCAACCCCTTATGAGTTTCTGTTTATACCCAATTTTAAGCATAAAAATACTGTGTACCTGAAATTAAATACCCCAAAATACTGTATACCCCAAAACCCTGGCCGAGCCTGTGAAGGTGACTGATTTCCCGCTCATTAGCGATTAATAAGATTCAAGTTATCCAACCTTCAAATATTCCTTGTTATGAAGCCTGAGATTGTTAAGTAAAAAGCGTGGGGTACTGGCAAAAAGAGTCAGAAGCACAACATCCCTTTTACGTTTACATTGTACGTCAAACGGCAATCGCGAATTTGTACCACGTGACCAAGTTTCCCGTTTGCTTGTCGCCTACTGTTCATTATTTCTACACATAAACAAGTAGTCTGCTACACAGCCGTTTTTAGTGTCGTCACGCAACGCTCCTCCACGTTGAGGAGCGTTGAGGAGCGTTGAGGAGCGTTGCGTGACGACACTAAAAACGGCTGTGTAGCAGACTAATAAACAAGTCGTTTCACGCAAGAAATCCATAAGAATTTTCTGAGCTGTTTTTATCTGCTAATCAGTTCTATTTTGAGAAATTCTCAACTTGAATCTGACGTTTGCCGTTTGGATTTTGCTGCTATATTGAAATCTAGATCTTGGGATTTGTAATTTCAAATATTTGAGAATAAAGTAAAGTTATGGAAAAGAATGACATCCAGCATTTCTTGTTTCATGGTCGAAAATGAGTGTTGGTATGCCTGTGATTTGGGTGAAAAGGAAATGGGTCTGAGAAGGCCGAGAAAGGGACTGGTAAGTACAGCTTTTAAAGATGGCGGACGGTGTTGGATGATGAAATTCAAACTCTATGTTGTTAGCCTCCAGTTGCTTCATATTTGACACCCCGGAGCCTTCACGCGTTTAACGAAAACTATTAACTGCGATGAGTGAACGTCAGGCTATTCCTGAGCGCCCTCCAGCAGCAAACAGCCCCTCTGTAACTCGTTTTATTCGCTACGAACATCTCGTGGCTGGCGTGTCAGGAGGCGTTACTTCGACTCTCGTTCTGCATCCGTTGGACCTGATAAAAATTAGGTTTCAAGGTAAGGTGCAATTAATAACTTGGTTGTTTGTAAACGTGCAAATGTATTGCAATTTTAAATGTAATGCTATGCAACTGGCATGAATGTCGAATCTAGGTTGTAACACTTCACGACAGACATAATTTTCTCCTAAAAGGTCACCTTGAGTTGGATCATGCCTTTCTTTAAGATGGAGATGATAAGCTTGACTCTTGTCTTACACTGACGCACGTGGAATCGTTCCAACTGTCATTGCAATTATTATAATGTATCTTCATTTATCACATTTTCCCAAAAATTAAAATATAAACAATCTCCATCCTGAACATGGTACCACTCAAAAGTATTAGTTACCACCCTCTCGCGAGACGAGAGTCTCATCTTGGCTCTCGTATCTCAAGTCGAGAGTCTTGTCTCCCAAGGCAAAAGTCTCGTCTATTGAGTCGAGACTCGTTCATCTTGCAAGAGGGTTGAAAAACTGTAAGCATCAAAGGGTCTTTGGAATGTTTATGGACTTAAGGATGAAAATAATTCTGTGTTCTGCTTTTCCGATCATGTCATGCATATTAGACCTGCGATTCATGGAGTAAACTTTGATGAAAGAATATGGTTGTCGTGTACGGTTTTACTTGAACCTTTTTATGACAAAAAAAAAACAGCATTGAAACTTTTCAAAGTGACTTTCTTTGTTTAGTAAAAACTGATCAAACTAAGTCTCAAAACAGCTCAAAACATAATTATTAACAATTGGGCTACTTTAAAACGTAAACAAGGAGAAATCAACCAAATGAATGACTGTATTAAATGTTTCAGCATGTACTTTCTAGTAATGCAGGAACAATCCAAGAGTTCTTCATTCCCTTCTATCAATCAATAAGAGGGGTCAAAATTTCTATTGGTTTTCATGAGATACAATGTAAATACATAAAAGAACATGTTGACAATGTTGGATTGGTCATTCTTTTAGCCATCTTTCTACCGGTTTCAAAGCGAACAAAGTGATGAAACAAATGGCTTTCCCCTGGGTCGAGAGAATGTTATCAAAATAAAGAGTGGGCGAATAGTTGCCATAATCTCTGATTGAACTTGGAAATACCAAAAACTTTCCTCAGATCCAAATGTCATGAAGGCCGGAAAGCAAACTCCAAAATGCAAACAGGAAGGAAATTTATGTTGGGTAAACTTTTGATCAATTATTGCAAGGCAATGAAAACAAACCAATTGATCTGGTGTCATTAATGTTCATTTCAAACCAACTCAGGGCACACAAAACATATCCACAATGAATTATTTATAAATGCAAGCTGCAAGAATCTCTTCCAGAAAAATATCCATAACCCCCCTTTCTACGGGGTGGGTCAATGGAAATTCCTAGGGGGTGGGGGGACTAAAGAGTACAAATTTTCGAAGGACACCACGGAGCGCGCAAGAACGAGGGCGGAGCGTGAGAAAGAAAAATAAAGAAGGTCTATTTTCTTATTCCCCCACCACTACCCCCTTGTGCTGGCGGTCAATAAATCCCTTGCACTTTATATTTTATCACCCGCGCTCAACGGACTTTGAAGAGAAAATAGAGGGTCTGTGAACAGGCTAACAGACTTCTCACCAAATCAACTTTTGCCCGAAAATATTAACGACCTGTCTCTTCTTTGTGGAGGAGACTTTCAACCACATGCTAGGCAACGAAATAGATCATGTCTCACCGATGTTCATTTCTGAACATGAATCGATGTAAATGTGGGACGCAAAATGAATGTTTACATATTTTGTTCTTTTATAACCCAAACAGGTTTTTTTGTAATTCCTGAAATTGTATAACTGCAAGTGTAATTCATTCAAAGTTAAACTTAACTACGAACATCGAGAGATTGACTTTGTGGTGACTTTAGGAGCTGAGGCCAAACATTTAACGATAAACTTTGTTTGTAAGTTAGTTTTCTAGTAGATCTGTTTTGAAATTCGAATATCTTCACATAGTTTAATGTTAAATTAATAGTTAACTTCGAACTTATGCTGTAAATGTTGCATTTGAGATGAAACTGACTTAGACAAGACGTCTACATAGTGAAACTTGATAACAGTACCAGAAATCAACTTTGTCTGTAAGTAGATTTGTCTCGAAATTCGAAAATGTTCACATAGTTTTATTTCAATGAATAATTCAAATTTAAAGTTATGTTCTAATTGTTTTCTTGAGATGACATGAACTTATTAATCTCTGTTTTCGTGCCTCGCGCATTTCACTGGACAGACTAATAATATAGACAGACTGCTGATAGTCTATTAAGCGTGCTGTACTTGCATAAGAAATACATATTGCCTTGTAAAAGATTACAAATTGGTCCAAGATTATAAAAAATTGTGTCGTAAGATGAGAACAGTTAATTTTAAATGGTACACGGTCGATAATCTCTAAATGTGGCAAACTTGGGTGGTGGCTGGTTATGTATGACCCCTCTGGAACGGAAATTCCGAGGGGGTGGGGGGGGGGGTCTAATCGAAAGAACCATCTGTTGGGGGGGGGGGTGTATGGATATTTTCTGGAATCACACAATTTGCATTCGCAGAGTCACTAAAATTTCTTTGATTAGGAACAGACATACAACTTCTACATGTAACTTGACACGTGCAATTTTTTTGCCTTGGATTTTTGCTGACTTTAGGACAGGACCAAATTAGTTTAAAGAAGTTTAAATTGTTTGTAAAAGAGAAATATTTCCAGACTGTTTAAAACTTTACTTAGGTTTCAAGCTTAATCACGACAGCGCTTTGACAAGAGAGTTTCAATTTTGTCATTTTCTTTCTCAGTCGTAGAGATGTTGAGTTTCTCTCATAACATATTCCAAAATTGATGCTTAAGTGATTCTCACAAGACGATTCTCTTGTCTTTCAAGACACGACATTTGTCTTTAGAGATGAGACACTTGTCTCTTGAAATGAGAAGCTCGTCTCGGAGACGCTCATCTCATGAGAAGTGAAACTAGACTGGTAACTTACTTCTAATTTGAGCGGTACTGTACATACATACTCCAGATTTCCTTCTCTTAAGAGAACCAATGACTCATATCTGTACATGTGATGGGTTTTTCAAATACAAATCCTTCTAATTTTCGGCAGCCGTTACGATCGTTGCTTTTCTGATACACAGCCATACAGTACATGAGATATACAAGTTACATAATTTTAATTATGCTCTTTCCGTTCCTGCTAACATGATCAGGGTGCGAAGAAAGTCAGTTTTACAGCCTGCCATTTGGGCAAGCTGTAGCTAGCATGTACTAGCCCACAAGTCACTTCAACCAGCCCCCAAACCCTTTTTGATTAGCAGGATTGATTACAATCCTTCTGTAATTTGAATTTCCCCAAAAAACAGCACTTGTCTCTTGGGCAAGTTAAGAGCAACACCAGCCCAATAACAAAATCCACTAGCCCACACCCAGGGCTATCAGACACGACTCTCTTTGCACGCTGATGATTATTCCAAAGTTAAGCCTTTGCAGATTAATCTATTTACAGAAAGTTGATCAGGTGACCAACTATTCAAAAGGCCCATGATGAGCTAGAAAATAGAAACATGATGGACTTGGAAAGAGAAGAAGATAACAGGTCCTGTACAGCTGTACTTGACCCAATCTGTGGTTCACATCATCTTCATTAAAATTATGTTTCTTTTCATTAAATTAACAATTAATACAGACACTGTAAATGAGGCTGAGTATCTTATGAAGAATTATGGAGATCGAGGAGGGTGTTATGGCCGAGGCGGATAACACCCTTCTTGATCTCCATAATTCTTCAGGTGATACAAAAGCTGAATTCAATAAATGTTTTATTATTCATTGAAAATAATTCCTAGTTTAAAAACATAGCTAAAACATGCTTATACCTCCATCGATCTTACGTTCATTTTCGATAGTGCACATTTAGGGTTGTTCAGCTCCACAAAATAATATTATCTAAATAGCAGGTGTCGCGCTTCGAGTTGTTTTCTTGCTGCTCTTACATGTACCATGTTTTTAGCTATAATTTCGCCTAGTTCTTACTCTTGAAACGAGTGAAATGGCCGCCATTTTTGTTTTCATGACCAAAACAACTCAACCTTCTCCCCAGGTCTTCTCTGTTAATGGTGCATTAACCTGCAACAAAGCTGCACTTTTGACGTCACCAGTTGATTAATTGCACAATTCTTCCAAATTTGGTCGTCAGTAGCTGATTATGGTGAATTATGCGTGTGCTTTTAGCCAATCAGAATCAGGGAAATATTTTGAATGAATAATAATATATGGCTTAAGGTGAACTGCTCCCAATGTACAGGTACATGTACTGTGTTGTGTACTGCAGCACTAAGACAGCAAAGGATTTGAATCCGTTTGAAGTCCTTACAATTTTTGGGCTTAATTTGCTTTTAATCCCTATCTGCATGTAGAAAACAAAATAATAATTATTTTAAAACATTTAATGTGACCGCTTCATTTTTTATCTGAATGTTTTCATTAATATTATTAGTTAATGATGGCAGTGGGAAGTTGCCAGCATACAGAGGTTTACTTGATGCAGTGCAGTCCATTGTCAGAACTGGGGGTTTAAAGGGGTTATACCAGGTTAGTAAATTTTATAGTAAAAAGAACCTTGTGTTTGAAGACTGGTTTGTTTAAAGTTTTGATTCATCATGAAAAAATTCAGATTTTTTTATACTTTTCTGAAGTTGGTAAGCTTACATGTAGCAGTGAATTCAGCAAGGAAGAATCATTCTCATTTTGGGAATTTTGAACAATCATTCCATAATTATGCAACTGTTAAGGGTTAACTTTACATTGTATTATTAGTTACACACCAAAACACCAGCATGCAACAACATGGTCAGTGAAGGTCACCACCCCTTGTGCCCCCTTCCGGTCACGCTTCTGCTAGCGTTCCATTCTCTGTGTGCAATCCAAATAGAGAAGACTTCACACAAGTTAGTTCCCAAAGTACAACAGTGAAGACTTTCTGCCAATAAACAAAGTTTTTGACAAAAAAAGCTATAAGATTATCAGCTAACCTATTTAGCTCACCTTTCTTTCCTTTCCTTTTCTTTTTTTTAATGATAATGAGTACAAGTTATTTTTTTTATGAATTCCAGGGTGTGACACCGAATGTATGGGGTAATGGGTCTGCATGGGGACTGTACTTTTTCAGGTAAGTGATTAGAACAGGCAACAAAACAATATTTTCTGCAGAATTCTTTGTTTTGAACCTTCATTAGAATTTATGTACATGTATATTTAACTGCACATTACTGGGTGTATACAAATTGAGCAGCTAGGAGGTTCTTTTCTGTGTTTTTTCTTCTTCCCTATCTGTTTGAGTTCCTACTGCTCCTATTTTCTTCTCTGTTAAATTTGTACATTTGTATACTTTAGTAGCAAGGGCAAAAACCCAGCACTTGGGATCCCGGCCAAGGTGGAATCAAGCATGGATTGAAACGACAGAACCTTCTCGTTAGTTTTTAAGGCCGTGGTTTTAAAGAGCGTTTAAACTAGGTTTTTTTTATGAGGTTTTGCTGTTTGTGTAAGAAAGAATTTTAAAGGCGTGAGCTAAGAAGCTATTTTGTGCCATGTATCAGGTCTTATTTATTTTTAAGTAGTTTTTGGTTTCTTCATACAGTTATAACATTTTAAAAGCTTGGATGCAGAAGGACTCAGATAAGCCTCTTGGAGCAGAGAAACATCTTCTTGCTGGGACTATAGCAGGTACATGTAACACAACTCTCGCACCACAATTAGTGCAAAACTTCGCCGCCCGCGTATTAACAGATACTAAAAAGTTTAATCACATCTCCTTTTCTTTGGGAATTAGGGTGGGCCTCCATCAAAGATCAGCTATTAGTCCGTGATACTACCCAAGTACGCAAAATTGTTAATAGCCTCGCTCCGTTGTACTTGAGTAGTAAACTCAGTAGGCGATCAGACGTGCACCACTACAACTCGAGGAAAAGGGACAATCTAAATCTCCCTCTGTGCAGAACAGTTACTGCGTAACGGTCATTTTACTATCTCGCTGTAAGTGCCTGGAACTCTCTGACTGAAGACACTAGAAACAGCCCGTCACTATGTACCTTTAAGAGGAGCGTCTAACGCGAATTGCGGGAGCAGACCCCATACGTTAAATAGTTAATATTTGATTTAGTTTAGCTCTCTAACGGGATAACGTAATTGTACGCGCATGGTTTAGGCTTTTAGTTTTGTACCAAGATTGTAATCAATTTAAGCTTTTTCTTCTTATCCCGTTCTTTTGTTAGCATTTGTAAATTAACTTCAGAATAGCCCTTTGGGAGAGTTAAGAAAAGTGATTGTATTGTATTGCATGATATATCAGGAATCAAGTTCAAACCAAACTCCTCTGCCCCGTTACACAGTGTCATCCGCAGTTGTCTGTCTGCGATAATTTATACACAGGGTTGAGAGGATTGGGTGACACCCTAGACTGCAAAACAGTCCGCATTTTTGCGTATTGAAGTACGCGCGAGCAGTCAAACAAAAGGTCTGGAGCGAGGCTGAAAACAGAGAGCGAGACTGGGGATAGAGTTTTTTTTTCTCTTGCCTCACACGCCCGTAGGGCGTGTGAGACTCTCGCGCTTCGCGGGCGTAAGACTCTTACGCCAAGCTTTACCGATTTCTTTACTGATTTTGAGAAAAAAAACCGACTGTTTTACAGTCTAGGTGACACCCCGTATCCATCTTATAAGTTGAGTTGATATATTTTCCTCCCTTTCAGGAACTGGAACACTAACAGTAACAAATCCAATATGGGTTATCAAGACTCGCCTCTGCCTTCAGTACACTGGTTCACCAGCTGCCGTTACTCAAGCACCGCAATACAAAGGGATGCTTGGTAAGAAAAAAGGAAACTTGGCCAACTTGACTTTCGCAAAAACTTAAGGGACTGTTACCAGGGACAGGGAAAACATTGGCCAATAGCTAACTGGCGCGTCCCCAGTAACGTTCCCAGAACCAATTGCGGGACGCATTTCGTCTCCAGTTCTCTGGTCGTTTCTAAAGTGGTGAATGGGCAAACCGGTCGGTTCACGGGTTGGATGAATGGTTTGAAAAATTCAGGCCTAGTAAATTTCATTCCGGAATCGTGTTTACTATTTGTTTTACAAATCAGTTCCATTTACCGAAAAACGGCCGTGAAGGCCTGAAACTACAGTCGACTCCCGATAACTCGAACCTTCAACGGAAATCGAAAAAAGTTCGAGTTATCGGGAGATCGAAGAAAATAGCTGAGAGTAATGTAAAAAATAGTTTTTACTGCACAGTGAACATTTTAATCACATATAATTGTAGAAACGTCAAGTGAAAATTAAAAGATACTTCTAGATTATAAATCAGAACGTAACGTAACAAAACATAGCCTAAATGGAGCATGCGTTTTACCGTTTTGAGAAGTAAAGCTGCTTCACGTTAGCCTGTGACAATCAACATCAGCCTCCATTAGTAAACTTTACTCCTACAACACGTTAATAGGAAATCCAGAATTCAATGTTTCGGACGCCAGTAGACAGCTTTTTTCCCGACTTTTTAAGGGCTTAAAACATGGTTCGAGTTTTCGAGGGTAAAATTATATAGAAAATGGCCTGAGGGGAAACGAAAATTGGTTCGAGTTAGCGGGAGTTCGAGTTATCGATGGTTCGGGTTACCGAGGGTAAAATTACAGTGAAAGTATGACGGAAATCCAGGGGAAATCGATTTTGGTTCGAGTTAGCGCGAGGTTCGAGTTAGCGAGGGTTCGAGTTATCGGGAGTCGACTGTAGTATCAAAGGTAAGTTTTAACAAATGGAGCACGAATCTCCGTTTGGAATATTTCGTCCGGAAAAACAGGACCACCTTTTTACATGTTCCATTACTCCCGGGAATTTTCCAATAAAGGGACACGGAGAGCCGTTTTCCATTTACTTTTTGTAGTGGTAAAATAACGAGTTCCTCCTATTACAGTTATTTGTCGGACACAATGTCTGTGTGACCTTGATTTAGAGAGCCGTAGATCATACATGTATTTGTGTTTATTAAAAAATCATTTCCTAATTCTTACTTTTTAGATGCCCTTTTTAAACTTTGGAGACACGAGGGACTCCGAGGATTATACAAAGTAAGTTTGCCGTGCTAAGTAATGTTGCTTGACGTAAACGGCGTCCTTATTACGACATTTACGCAATCACGGTGGTTAGGGCAACGAGAACGTTTAGAAACAATTACAGGTTTTATGGTGGAAAAAGCAGCAACTCTGCACAGTTTCTTGAACATTTCTTTGCCACCACCGCACGACTACGACGTGAAAATTGCCTGATTTCACGTTTTGTGGGGACCGTAAACGAGCGACGACGAATTTTGTTTCGAGTTTCCTATCTTAAATTCATGCGGTCGTCGTTGCTAAAGCTTCTGATGTTTGGTTCTAGTTTTCCAAGCGTCGGATAGCGCTATCCACCAGATAAATCATTACTCAGTAAATGAGTGTGAGGAAAACTAATTCCTCGATCTAGTGGGTAAGGATTTTTCCCGTGGATAGCGTTACCAACCTTAGGAAAGAAACTGGGGTCTGGTGGATAGCGTTATCAACCTTAGGAAAAGAAACTGGGGTCTGGTGGATAGCGTTACCAACCTTAGGAAAGAAACTGGGGCCTGGTGGATAGCGTTATCAACCTTTTGAGCAACTAGAGCCTGATTCAGTGCAAATGGTGCAATTTACAAAATTAGTCCACTTGAAATGTTTTATCGCGATGAATGTCAGCTACATGTACACAGTGTTTTGTTCACTAGGGTTACGTCCCCGGACTGTTTGGTGTGTCACATGGTGCTCTCCAGTTCATGGCTTATGAAGAACTTAAGAAAGGCTACAGCCATTACTTTGGTACACCAATCAATAAAAAATTGGTAAGTCAGTCGTAAGTGGTTGTTCACATTAATCATAACTTAAGTTTCGTTCACGAGCAGGGATGTACACATGTCAGTACAGAAACTATAAATTTTCGTTATCACAACAGGATCTGATTGTATAATTACCTAGCGTACTGTTTTTGCATTCTCTGCTTGAGAGGGTATTTCTTTTTGTTGTTACTCATTTTAAGAATGCGAAGATCTAGCAGTTTGCCAGGAAAAGTGATACCGACCTAATATAAGCTATATACTGTTAAATTGCACGGCTTAGATTGTTAAGGGTATGGCTGTTGACCCCTTTTTTGCAGTGAAACAGAGTTAGCTTGTCCTTTCTGAAACAAGGCTCTTTAATATGGTATGTTTCTTTCTGTCACTCGTCTCTTGAAAGCTGACGTAAGGCAGAGCAAATCACGTATTTTGGTCTGAGCGAGGGTTAGGCTTTCAGGAAGCATGCTGCACACTCCCACCGTAATTTTCAACCCTCCCCCCTCCCCCGCTGGACCAGTACCTTTGTTTTCCGTAAAAGCCGCATCGTCACGAGAAAAATTGTGGAGGTTCACTCGCTGATGTATATGATACATGTAACCTTTGAACACCAAGAACATGATTTCGTAGAAATTCATTCTCCAACTACAGCTGTAAGGCACGAACACACCACAATCAATGATTTCTAATTGATTTTCCTCAAATAGCACTGCTAAATTTTAAAACATTATTCCCCTCTTTACCGACCAGTCAACTTAAAAGATCCCTAAATATTGACTATGGCATGCCTGGATAGGCTACCAGCGGTCTCTCTCTGTCAGAATTAATGGAGCTGTTCACTTATACTAACAGGTCATTGAATAATAACAAAACTGTTAAATCCCTTCTTCAAGTTGTGAGCAAACCACAGTCAGTGGTTTTTGAGCCCTGTCAAACTAAAAACATCGGCCCAGCCTTTTGAAATTCTCCTTCTATCTCGACCTATCTTTAGCTTAAGACACACCTGTTAGTGAATTTTGTGTTTTTACGAGAAGGTGGGCTGACCCGCTTGCCGAGATCTCGGCTCGAGCAACCGGGATCTCGGCCTCGTCCTCTCCGATGTATTTAGCTTAACAGTTAGCTAACTGGGGGCATTTTCCTACGTGCTGGCACACTAATCTATTGAATGACTTTTAAATTAATGATCTTAGCTAAAATCTAAAACTATATACAAATGTCCACGACTCAAAATTTACACAGGTCACAGCAGTTACTGTTATTATCTATATTGCTCGAAAGGTTCACACCGCGTATATATTTCTTGAATGCTTTGAGCCCTCTCAAGTTTCTGAGGTCGCTACTGACCTTTGACCGAATGAAAGGTCCTTCGTACACTGTAGCGTAGGGAATACCTCCCATAGCCCACTATATCAAAGCGGGGTAGTTCACAGTTTCTTAGGCTTTGGTGTTTACCTTTGATCGTGAATAACTCAGATACACACCTGTGAGCCATCCTGTATTTTATTTTATACATTAGTATTGCAATGGCTTGCAAACGCCTGTTATAAGGCGTAGGCAGCTTGGCGCGATTGACGAGTTCCTCGTACGCCTCAGTTTGAGATTTATATACTGCGCGCAGCGCACGCTCTTGGATGCGCTCGATTTTTCTGCTATCAGGTGATTTGCAAATTTTCCATACTGAATGAGAGTGAGTTAGTTGAGCACGTATGGCGTCTTGTATAACATTAACTTCGCGTTACAAAGTATTAAGTTTCGCAGACGTACAAGCATTCCTACTTTCTGACTAGCTCTCATACATAACTCGCTAATATGACCCGCAAAGTTTAGATTCTCGTCAATGTAGACTCCTAGTAATTTCATTTGCTCTGTTTTCCTGATGTCATAATTACCAATGTTCAAAGTTTCATCGTCATTCTCTGCATCGATATTCCTGGGATTGACGGTTAAGGACTGGAACGTCTACGGATTAGCAAGATGAAAGTTATTTTTATATCAAGACTACGCTAAAACAGACCCTTAGTATGCATTGTTTCCTCCTCCTTCTAGAGTTCAACAGAGTACTTGATAATGGCATCATTATCAAAGATCTTCGCTGCCACAGCCACGTATCCGTATCAAGTAGTCAGATCAAGACTACAGGTAAACAGACATCCTACTTTTTATCTCTTAGTGTAAGGTTATGCCCACAAGATTAATTCCAACAGGCACTTTTCAGCTAGTGATTCACGTGGTACAAAACCGCCACGCAGGAGAGTAAGGGACACACTGAGACAAGACAAACAAAAGGCTCACTAGACTTTCTCAAACCCCGTTTCCTGTATTTGCTTGTTTGGTGGTCAGTTGGCGCTCGCGTTGCGATTTCTCTTTCGCTCGCTTCGCGCAGTGGACATGTGGCAAGTCTAAATGCTCACATCATTTAAAATCGTAATCCCCTTTGTTTCTGTTCTCCCGGTGCGATTCTTGCTCTCCAGCATTACGTTTTTTTTTTGTTTGTACCACGTGAATGGCTAGCTGCAAAGGGCCTATTAAGTTATGAACGCATACAAACTTACAGCTGTTTTTCCCTAGCGACGGAGTCTGGGTTGAAGTCGTAAGAGCAGTCGTTAAAACTCTTACAACCCATCAAACCTCGGAGTCGTAAGCAGAGTCAAAATCGCGAGGGAGTTGTAATCAGGACGTTACCGTTTTGTTCCGACTCTACCTACTATGACAGTAGCATGCCCAGCCACCCTTTGTATCCTGCTCTTCCCAAAACAAAAGAAAGCTCTGTACGCCTCCGAGTTCCAAGCAGCCAACTCCCTAGGGGTTACTACTCAGCGCTTTAAAAATAGTTTCATCAATACGCTCTTTATTAAAAACAACGTAGCAATCTAATGTTAAGTTGTGTTTTTTCTTTTTTTCTTTTTTTAACGCTTATGTTAATATTGTATACAGAATTTAAAGTTTTGTACCCTTTTGGCTTTTTAATTGATTTTAAATTTTGCAAAATGTAAGTTTTATATTAGTTTAGCTGAATCTATTTTTGCTGAAACAAATAATAGAGACTAAAGACTTTTAAAAGACACCGTTGCTTACGATCTAATGCGAGAAACCAGATTGTCCGAAGATTTTCAAATCTTTAAAATGCGTTTTGATTCACCTTGAAGCGGCTAGTTCTGGAGCAAGTGTCAAGAAAAAGTTCATCCTAGTAATTTTTTCAGTTCTTAAAGCTCCCTGTTGTTTTTATACAGTTTGAAGCTGATATTCATCAGAGCTCATTTCCTTTATCGCAATGTTTTTTTGGTTTGTTTTGTAGAATCAATACACGATGGCCGAATACAATGGAGCAGTGGACGTTATCCGTAAAACATTCAGGTGAGATGAGGGACTCGCTTCGTCGATTTTCTTTTTTGTTGAAAGGAGTTTTTGAAAGTGAAATTTCCCAGCCCTCTAAGATTTATATCTTAAACAGTCGCCTTCTGACGTTAGCTTTTTTGTCGACTTTCTAGATACGAAGGAGTGAGGGGATTTTATAAAGGATTGGTTCCTAATGTTCTCAGGTAAGATCTCCAACAAAAGAGCTCCTAGGTTTTAACCTGTCTGGATTACAGTGGGTAATTGGCAGGCCCTAGTTATTCAAAAGGTAGATAACGCTATCCACTGCATAAAGCACTATCCAGCGGATAACGCAGTTGGTATCCATAATACGTATCCACTGGATAGTGATTTATCCGGTGGGTTGCGCTATAGAACATTTAATCAACCGGGGCCAGAACTGTAATGAAGATGTCGCGGATAAAAGGACAACAGCACTTAGCCTCTTTAACAGTAAGCTCGGTCTTCACACGTGAAAGATCAGTGCAGTTATTAACGCAACTGTGCGTGAAAAAGACAAACAAACAAACAAACAAACAAACAAACCCGAAAGGTAGCATACGAAGACGTCACTGGCTGCCGCTATTGGTCTATTCATCAGCTTACTGTTATCCTCCCACCCCGTACTATGTATGATTAGTGAAACAAAAGAGGCGGTAGACCACACCACCTAGGAAACATTTCCTATTCTTTTTCAATAATAGTGGCAGTTGGTTGTTTTACAACACTATGCGAAAGTAATGATATCAAACTTCTCCGAAATTCGTCAAAATTCACGAATTTCGAGATAAAATATCGTTAAAATTTCGGTGGATCTATTGTCGGCGAAATTTCGCGCAATGAAACGAAATGGGACGAAAATTCGGCTTAAAACGAAAGTTCAGTACCGTTCGTCCACTTTTGAAGAACTATTAATGAGAGGAAGGATGAAGGAAGTAAGGCTGAAGGCTTAGAAATAATGATAATAATTTAAGAATTTATAACGCGCAGATATCTATGAGGCTATAATCAAATCCGCGATATTATGATTGCCTTTTCCGATTTTTAACGCCACTTCCCGATCGTCTGGTCTGGGAGAAGGTCTTAAACAGATAGCAGAGTGGCATTTTCTTTTGATAATGAACTCTGTGACCGGCCGGGATTTATACCCGCTCCTCCAACCTGCTTTATTTGGCTGAAATAAGGCTCATACGAGAAACAGACAAACCAAACAACCCACAAAAATAGACATGGAAAGTTGAAATGATAATAGAAAATGATAACTGTAGTTTGACCTGGTTATAATGGTCACCCTCGACCGGTATTTAAGAGACTTGCCGCCTAATGAAGGTGGTCGCTTAATAAAAGATCACAAAAATTACCCACTGGGTGTGGCCGTCGAAACGCAACTAATTGATAGTCTTCATAGAAGAGCACTTCATTCAATTCTTCATTCTATCAAACTATAAAGCAATCAACGTCCTTTCAGGCGAACTATACCAGGGCGACCCTGATCTGTATTGATCTTTCACTTTCTATTCTGTCAACAAAGTTGCTAACTTGTAGCCGTAACGGGGAAATAAACTCACCGTTATGATAAAGCACTATCCGTTATTCTGTCGCCCAACCAGACAGTGTTTGCGAGCCCTGACGCTCACAGCCAAATGTCTCATTCCTTCATTATTTTCTTACATTTACGGGTGGCCGCTAGTTAACACAGGCAAAAATAACAAGAAAGGCAAAACATGGGTTGCAAAGGGGTGGCTGAGGTCGCTTAATAAAGGTGACCACTTGTTAAAGATGACGATTACAATGTTTGTACTGTATGTAGGGAAGTTGGGAGCTTTGAAAACAGCTCCCTAATACAGTTAAAACGAACAACTAGACGAAACGTATAGGAAAGGCACATGAAAAAACATACAAACATAGTAAAAGGCACGAGACAAACGTTGTTTGTGATTACGTTTGTTTGTTTTTGTTTTTACAGAGTGACTCCAGCGTGTGCTCTGACATTCGTGGTATACGAAAACGTCATCCATTTTCTTATGCCGTCCAGCTAACTTAAATAGACCAATGACTGATATATTCTGCCTCTTGACACGTCTGTTACCCGTTTACACTCTCATCAATATTTTTTAAGGTGGAACTGGGTTTCCTTTGTTTACATTGAAAGAATTTCAAACGTGTGGCGTTTCTTCAGCAACAGACGTAGCATAGCTTGATACATGTATATTAGAGAATATAACGACCAAGCCGAGGCTACTCCAGTTCTGTACCGCCCTCCCATCCCCCAACGAGCTGCGCGAGGTCCTGCCAAACACGTATTTCTAGTTCTTCTCCTCTAACGCCTGCATGCCGTGGCGAACATGCGGGCACACGCCCTTACAAAACAGAAGATCGATATATATGTTGGAAGTTTTATAGTAATATAGCAAACTAAGGACTCTTCCACACCAGTTCGCTATAATGATAAAACCTTAGCTTTCCTTAACTTTCGCTGGCAAAAACCCATCAAGAGTTCTGTGTCTATAATAGCCTTTTAAGGCATTCTTGGACCTGCATTCCGTTTGCGAAAAGAGGGGGGAAGGAGAGCTTGCACTGACGTCTCATAAATTTGAATTCCGCCCCAAGAACCCCCCATGGCCCCTCTGTTGTTGAGATGTCAAAAACTGACCAATCAGATCTACCCCTTTTCCCTCTCCCACCCTCTCACCCCCCGGGAGAGCTTGCTCGCGGGCTTTCCTGCACACAAAGCGTTCGTCTGTCCCCTCTGTAAAGGTGTCACAGGCTCTGACGTCAGCGTTTTTGGGAACCCTCTTATTTGCCCGTCCACACTAAAACGATTACCTTTTTTTTTTTTAAAAAGGGTCCTTTTTCGATAGCGTTTTCCTAAACCTGTGAACGCAAGGCCAAAACGGGTAAAAATATCTACCTTGTCAAACGAAAACGCATTAAAGTGGAACCTCGATTTAACGAAGGGTCAAGGGACTGACAAAATTTGTTCGTTATAACGAGGTTTCGTTATTTTTCATTAGTATTCTACTATTATTGGGGGTAAAGATAACCGTTTGTTATCTCGGGGACTTCGTTTTGTAGTAGTTCGTTAAATTGAGGTTCCACTGTATTATGCATAGGGTCTATAAGACGAACTGAAAGATATCGAAATTACAGTTAAAAGTTGCAGCTTGGTCATTGCTTTAAAAGTATGTCGATGTTCGCGAATAAAAGGCGGTGGCATTGCTATGGAATTTTATCTCAAGTAGAATAAAAGAAAGTTATCAGTTGAATATTTATATATAATTAAATATAAAAATAGGGTTATCGTTTTTGTTAGTAGTTTTCCTAAGCCAACCGCGCGACTCCAGCAACAAAAAGGGAAACAAGTCGTCTTGCACTTTGATCTGTCGTTTTGCGTTCCTACCTTGACTAAAAGGAACGTCAATGTTAGGGTCTTAGGAAGGGCACGGTTTTTGGTTTATATGGTTTGGGGGTATAGCTTCCTGTTCGGTAATACGTACCTGCGTCCTCGCAAGTGGTCGAAAATTCAAAAATATTTAAGTCAAAGTAGGAAAATATACGGAATAAAAATATTAAACAAGAAGGAAGAAAGGAAAAGTTGTTTAAAAAAAGGCGTAATTGCTTATTTAACGCTGCTTTACCTTTGAATTCCCTAGGAAGCCTTTCCGCGATCGCACTCAAAGCTTTGTGATGTGAATGAACGCTTGGATGGCTTGCCATGTCGCGACCGTTGCTTAGTGATAACAAGCACGTGACCCAGTTCTAAAAAGGGCCTATTCGTCCGAGGAAAATCAATGCAAAGTCTACAAAAATTTAAAATATAATGATACCTGCTTTGAAACGCGGCGAGGACGATGTCGGCAGTTATCTTCAGAAACACGCTGCAAAGTCCCTTTTTCACTTACAAAAAGTAAGGTTTCTACTCTAAACGAATACAGCCATCGCTTTCATTTGTTTTCCACTACGACACTTCGTCCTCCTAAATCTTTCGAAAGACTGAACAGTTAAACGACTGTTTAACTGTGACAGTAGACGGATCGAAATGCACTGATGACATTACGAGTCTTTCATAGCCAATAACATCACGGCTTAACTGACATACGACCAATAAGACGAAGACCTTATTGACCAATCAGGTCAATATCCCGAGTTTAATACCTACAACTGACGTGATACAACTCACTTTGACTTTGAAGATGACTATACCGCACAGGTTGTTGAAACCTCTGTCACTGTCAACAACAACAACAACAGTCCTATTCACGACTTCGTTCACCCGGACGATCATCCATGTACTCAACCTTTAACTTATAAAATGACTCCTGGGTCATGATATGATAAAAAAATGATGTATCTGGCCGTGATGTTTCAATTTTGAATAATCAATACCATATACAAGCTCGCAACCCAAGTGACCCAAAGAATCCCTCTCGCAATTTTCTTAATCCATTTTTCTCTTTATTTGCGCTGGACATTATATAATTTACATTTTTTTTTCCTATAATAGTGTGCGCACAAACGTGCCTTAAAACACTCGTGAAGTCTGGTACCTTTACTGTACGAGTACTATTCAAGTAAACTACAGTATAGTTACCATGGTGCAATATAGTCAATTTTACTCGGTGAGGGTAAAAGGAGGAATGAGTTTGCGGAATGGCATGTGGCATGGCTTGCGGAATGACATAATTATGCGGAATGTAAAATATGGAAATTGGCGCAAAGAAATAAATTAAACTGAAAGGCATGCGCGCGTCATTGCCGCGCCTTTTTTGGCGCCAATTTGAGAGAGCAACTGCTTCACTGGTTCACGCATTTAGACATTTATCTAAAACATACCTGAGAATTGGCTAGGGTTTCTGAAGGCAGCCTCCAAACGAAAACATTGAAGTCCGGTAAATATAGTGAGGTGTGACCAAAATAACTTAGTCTCCTCGATTGTGAAGTAACAAGACGAAATACCGTAAAATTCCGAAAATAAGTCCCTCCATGTATAAGCCCCTCCAAATATAAGCCCCCCAATCCGGTAACGCAAGAAACCCTCCATTAAATCGCCCCTCCAAATATAAGCCCCCCCCCCCGGGGGGGGCTTGTACTTGGAAAATTACCCTCAAATACAAAGTAAAACAAAGCAAAAACGGTAGATTTACTTCCAACTATAAGGCTAGCCCAATCGATTTTAAAACGCAAATTTCCCTCCGTAGATAAGCTCCTCCGAATATATTAAGCCCCTCCAAAAATAAGCCCCTCAAAAAGGGCCTATGAAAAATATAAGCCCCGGGGCTTATTTTCGGAATTTTACGGTATCTTCTTTTTCCGTTATCCTTAGCGAATTACCATTGTTAAAATCCTTATTTTTCGATAGAAGGGAGTACCAGAATACTTGTGCGGTTGATTTTTTGCTTCTTCAAAATACTGTCGGTACAGAAAATGTTACTCCTTCGATCAAGAATTACGTTGCGTATGTGCAGTCACGGAACAGACTGTCACGCAGAGTCGCAGGCAGGTAAAGTTCAGTGTTTCAAAATGGCTAAAATTAACCCAGTTTCACCTTTTTACCCCATTCTTTGATTGAAAAAAGCAATTTTGCAAAGGAAAAACCTACAAGACGTACGAAAAACGAGCCTTTAGGCTGTAAATATCTATTTATGTGCGTTTCGAAATTGGAAGTGTCTACACAATACAGACAACTACCGCCAGCCGGTATATACACTTGTGCGAGTTTCGCGAAAAAGTCAGACAGTACTGTATAAATAAATTTGTGCGAACAACTTTACTCAGTAAAAACATTATCTTATTTGAAAATAACACATATATACTAGTAAAAAAATTTGGGCGAAGAACTCTACGCGAAAGCAATGATTCTGTAAAACAATACATATATACTATTAAAAAAAATTGGGCGAGGAGCGTAACGCGAGCTCAAACACTCTGTATAATAATAAAAATATACTAGTAAAAAATTTTGGGCGATGAACTCTACGCGAGCTTAACCACTCTGTATAATAATAAATATATATGAAAATAACACATATATACTAGTAAAAAAATTTGGGCGAAGAACTCTACGCGAAAGCAATGATTCTGTAAAGCAATACATATATACTATTAAAAAAATTTGAGCGAAGAGCGTAACGCGAGTTCAAACACTCTGTATAATAATAAATATATACTAGTAAAAAATTTTGGGCGATGAACTCTACGCGAGCTTAACCACTCTGTATAATAATAAATATATACTAGCAAAAAAAATTTGGAGGGAACAACTCTACTCGAGCTCAACCATTCTGTATACTAATAAATATATAATAGTAAAAAAAATTTGGGCGAAATACTATACGCCAGGTCAGCGACGCTGTGTAATAATAAATGTATACCGGTAAAAAATTTTGGGCGAATCTAGCTACGCTAGCTCATGCCCAGCCACTCTGTATAATAATAATTATTAAAAACTGAATCATTGGATAATGCAATTCTAGCATTTTGATTGGCTTAGCCGTTATGGTATATGAGCTAATATACCATGTTCTCCATATATGGTCGGTGTACGCGTCAGTTTAAAATTGGAAGCTAGCTGAGATTTTTTTTCGCGAAGGATAGAACGGCGCCCGAAGCAAATCGTTTTAATTCATTTCTTAGAATACTAGAAATGCAATTTCAGCGCAAGAAAAAAGACAAAAACAAACAAAAAAGCCACAAGAGCTTGTCTGAAAGTTTGTCGAAAAACACATGAAAACACATGGAACTAAAGTACCTTGACCAGCTACGAAAGAAGACAAGTGTTGTTTCTTCATGATCGCGAAGCCATTCGCCGATCAAGTCACTCGCCGATAGATAACTGCAGCTTGTTTATCCGACATCAAGAATGTAAATCACAAGTAACCAGCTACAAATACAGGCTATGCAGCCATTCACTAGAGCAATCGAGGCGGCAGTATAGCTTCTTTTCTCGTTCAGCAAAACCAGCTTGTGGCTTCAAACAACTTCATAACAAGCGACCGAGGTAATACCGGTAGTTTTTCTCCGTTGTTCTTACTTTTATAACTGCACCGAAAATCCAAATTCATAGTAATATCGACGGCTGTCACTTAAAAATTCCTTTCCTTCACATTATCTGCCAGGTTTTTTTAAGCTGTTCTGCTGTGTAAAATCCTAGAATCACGATGAGTTTTTAAAAAACTAATGTTCATCGCTACAATGTTTTGATTTTTCATTCATGCAGTCTAGGCGAGTCCGTTCGCGCGTTGACAGTTTTGATAGACGTGTGACATGTCAATAGCGGAAGTCCCTTGTCTTTTCCGGTTTGTTCTAGTCGGGGCAATTCAACGAGATTTTGTGGGCGTTTTTAATAAAACAATTATTCCACTCGGGCTTGTTGGATATGAAATGATTATAGCCAACTCGGCGCTATGCGCCTCGTTGGCTATCTATCATCTCATATCCAACGCGCCCTCGTGGAATAATTGTTAAATATATACTAGTAAAAAAATTGGTTTCGCTCGTTCTACTATCCCTGAGGAAAAATGGGGACCACTTGTAGTCTATAAGAGCGATCATGACTGAGTGACATCGCAATTATTCTCCATAGTTAATACGGGGGTTGACAACTCTAACAAAGGCTGTTTGGGCAGTCCTATGAATAACTTTATGTCCTCCCGGAAATTTCGTCGACCCTCCCGAATTTTTCGGTGGCATTCCCCGTAAATGTTTAACTTCCCAAAATTGTTTTAACAATTGAAATTAAAATTTTGATTAGAGATTTTTTGCAGCTTCTTGTTAATTATGTAGCTTGTTAATTATCTAACCTTAGTTATTTTGTCGTTTGGAGGGTATCATGTTAACACAGAAAGACTGTCAAACTTTCTAAGTATATAAAATCGTGTTTTTTTTGTTTTTTAATCACCGATGAATCAGGCGAGCAGAGAAGGGGCCAGCCACTAGGGGGGACTGGGGGCATGCTCCCCCATAAAATTTTGAAATCTTGGTGCTCTGAAACGCCATTTCTAGTGTTCTGAGAGGACAAATTCTGTCCAAAATGTTCTCTAAATCAATTGTCCTTTTCATGCTTATTTTTATTGGCGTGACTCCGCGTAGAAGTAGTCAATTTTATTTTATATAAGTTG